TTTGGGGGGGAGGTTTAAAAAATGACTTGGACTCGAAGGCTTGGAGAGGTGAAGCTGTGAAGTTGAGGCATACTCTTGCATGTATGGTTTTGGGGGGGGAGGTTTAAAAAATGACTTGGACTCGTGACAAGAAGGCTTGGATAGGTAGGGCTGTGAAGTTGCGACATACTCTTGCATGTAGGGTTTTGGGGGGGAGGTTTAGAAAATGACTTGGAATCGTGACAAGAAGTCTTGGAGAGGGGAATACTCTTGCATGTAGGTTTTTTTTTGGGGGGAGGTTTAGAAAATGACTTAGCATCTAACAAGAAGTCTTGGAGAGGGGAGGCTGTGAAGTTGAGGAATACTCTTGCATGTAGGGTTTTGGGGGGGGAGGTTTAGAAAATGACTTGGACTCGTGGCAAGAAGTCTTGGAGGGTTTTGGGGGGGGGAGGTTTAAAAAATGACTTGGAATCGTGACAAGAACTCTTGGAGGGGGGTCTGTGAAGTTGAGGCATACTCTTGCATGTATGGTTTTGGGGGGGGAGGTTTAAAAAATGACTTGGACTCGTGACAAGAAGGCTTGGAGAGGTGAAGCTGTGAAGTTGAGACATACTCTTGCATGTAGGGTTTTGGGGGGGGAGGTTTAGAAAATGACTTGGAATCGTGACAAGAAGTCTTGGATAGGGGAATACTCTTGCATGTAGGGTTCTTTTTGGGGGGAGGGTTAGAAAATGACTTAGACTCTAACAAGAAGTCTTGGAGAGGTAGGCTGTGAAGTTGAGGAATACTCTTGCATGTAGGGTTTTGGGGGGGAGGTTTAGAAAATGACTTGGAATCGTGACAAGAAGTCTTGGAGAGGTGAAGCTGTGAGGTTGAGGCATACTCTTGCATGTATGGTTTTGGGGGGGAGGTTTAAAAAATGTCTTGGAATCGTGACAAGAAGTCTTGGAGAGGGGAGGCTGTGAAGTTGAGGAATACTCTTGCATGTAGGGTTTTTTTTTTGGGGGAGGTTTAGAAAATAACTTGGAATCGTGACAAGAAGTCTTGGAGAGGTGAGGCTGTGAGGTTGAGGCATACTCTTGCTCAAGAAGTCGTGATATTCAAATAAGGATAGTTTCTCGAGGCGATTCCTAATGCGGCAATCGAAATTGCCAAGGTGTAAATCATGCTTGCCGAATCGGTCAGGTCTGGTTTCCTCAATTAGTCACCAAGTCGGAGAGTTTTAGTTGCCAAGCAGCTGAGAATTGTAGTTACCAAATCGGTGAATGGTAGTTACCAAATCGGGGAATCTCAGTTACCAAAACATAGTTATCAAATCGGAGATTCTTAGTTATCAAATCGCGGAGATTTGGTTTCCAAATCGGAGATTTATAGTTCCTAAATCATAGTTTCCAAATCGGGGAAACGTAGTTACTGAAGCGGAGATTGTTAGTTACCCAACCGTAGTTCCCAAATCGTAGTTTCCAAATCGCCGATAGTTATCCAATCGGTCTTCCATCATATCTATATTCATCGATAGATCTATCATGATATATCTATTTTTCTATAGTTCACTATATTTCTATCTATCTACCTACCTACCTACCTACCTACCTATCTATCTATCTATCTATCTATCTATCTATATGTCTACATCCATCTCCATCTACATCTATCTCTCCCTCCCTCTGCCTAAATCATAGGTAATCATTATATAATGTATTGTGAAACAGACCGAAACATATTGACCCCGGAGATGAATGTATTGTTGCTTGGCGTCATCATCCATGTAGCTGCATGATTTACCCAACCACCCACTGAGAGGTAAAAAACAGTTTCAGTTACGTGATTTGTTGTTTCAGATGGGTTTGCGGCGCAGTGAAAGAACCCAAAGCATAGTGACATCAGCACATAGCCACTGGAACATACCCGTGCATCAAATTGGTTTGGATTTGACTTAAGTCACGCGTGCTACATATATATATACTTCTCTCCTACAACGTACATGTGTAGGAAAGGTGCCCGAATTTGGGTGATTCCAGTGGAACACGTCACGGCTGGTAGGTGGCTCCAACTTGTCCCAAGTTGGGTTTTAAACATGAAACATTTGAAATTAGCTATCATAGAGATGGAATGGAACTACATGTGGAGGAACCATGCTGATGATTTGACATGGTTGTAGAACTGATTCGAGGCCACTGTTGCTGATGCCGCAGCAGCATGGGCACCGTGCATCGCAGTGGCTGAAGATGGGCATGCCCTGACCAGTCTGAGGGTGAGGATTGTGGATGTCAAGGCACTGACAAACTAAGCTAGTGAAAACGCATGGCTGAACACGCTGAAACAAAGTCCTCCCTCAATGGCCCCGTTTTTGCAGTTCTTGGAGTATGTGCAGAAGCGAGCAGTCCACAAATCAAGCAACAGCATAGGCCTATTTCATCATGTTTTATGAAGAAAACTCGGCGACCCTTGTTGAAGTAACAGAACCATATAAAAAAAACAGTATTAAACATTATTAAACTATATTAAGCTACTATGTATGTACATGGTGCCGAAAACCAGCTAAAGTTGATCCAAATCATCTCCATATTACAAGGAGCGAGTACAGAATGGTTGCAAGTTGCATGATCAAGATCACGAACACCAAAAAACAGTTCCGACGGAATCTTCAACTTTCACTCATTGCCCGATCACCTTCACTTTCACTTCGTAGTCTTGCTCATTAAATACGGCCTTCTTAATCTTCATCCACCCTTGGTGTGTCTTGCCAGTCACTGAATTCGGAGCTGCACTCCGGACGCCGCCAGAACCGACATGCAATCTGACAGAAATGCTCGTGCTCTCGGTACACTTCTCTCAAAGATCTTGAGTTGTCTAGAGTAGGGGATAGTACATGCCCATGTTTGGGAACATTGCCACGTAGTGAGGCGATAACCATATATTTTTTGCGCCGTTCCCGGGGTCCATACAAGAGAGATCAAAAGAAAATTCAAAAGAGAGATCAAAATACTTCAACAGTTTGCTCCTTTACCACCTGTTGCCTCCGTGGAAACAGAACAGCGCCCTGTCGATCAGGCCGCGGCCCAAAAATTGACTCCAAAAAAAGACCAACGGTACAGCCACAGATGGTGGGCTCACTAAAGCGACCTGATCAGTGTCACGCAGGCTGCCCCCAGGCCCTAATAATCCCTGGGAGTGTGGCCGTCTATCAATCCAAGACATCGAAACCAAGTTTGTCTCATCAGGGAGCCGAAATGGTTCATGGTTTGGAGGATGGAGAACAGGTACCAAAACAAACGCCATGTCCCTGCCTGCCCTCACCGCGGAAGGGGGAGCCGCAGGGCCTTTGCTCATGGCAAAAAAAACAATAAAACTTGGGCCGGGGCCCCAACATCACCAGGACATCTTAGCAAAACCGTTTTTTACTTTTAATGTGATTTTATTTTGGTCCATGAAACTACTTAGGAGCCTAAGAAAATTGTTAAAACGAATACAGTACAAAAGAAAAAGAAGAGGGCGTGCTTGGCCGATAATGAGATATGTCGTTACGATGTAAACCGGACACACCTAAACAAAGCGGGCTGCAACCATGCAACGGTGTGAGAATGATTCATTTGACCATTTATCAACAACTACCAATACTGATTGGGATTCATATGCCATAAGCCAAATTTGATACTGACAGGTTTCATGGCTGGTGGACTCAACCCCAAACCTCTGGTCTAAAACGAAATCCCCTGAACCGCTTAGCAAAAAAAACATGTACCACTCCAGACCTTTACGGGTCCCGGAGCTGCCTGGTCTAGAATGGGGTTCTCACTGGACATATTTGGGACTATCAAGATACAACGTATGAGCAGGTTTGGAATTGATAGAATATAACATGCACACTTATTTTATCTTCAACTTCGGGCCCTAACGAAAGTTATAATTTTGCGGTGCTCAAATTTGACTACTTTTGACTTTTGACCAGATTTTGCAAAGAACATATTTAATCTTCAACTTTGCGCTTCCATTTTGGTACCACTATGCGTTTCCATTTTGGGAGCACTATGCGCTTCCATTTTGGGAGCACTATGCATTGGCTGAGTAAGTATCAAATTTGAAGTGTTCCATAAGGGTTTCCCAAACTATAGGGGTCTAACTTGGCTTTCTTGTGGCCTTGGCCTAGGTGGGGAAAATGTATTGAAATTGAAGGGCAATATTCTTTCAGACCCTCCCCCTGGTATCTGTTCAACTTGCAGTGAGTGTCTCATAGCATTTTATGAGAAGATTAGGGTCTTTGAAACTTTAGGTCTGTTGAGGGCATCTTAGATTTTATGTTGGTATTACAATTTTGGGAGCACTATGGGCTTCCATTTTGGTACCACTATGCGCTTCCATTTTGGGAGCACTATGCGCTTCCATCTTGGGAGCACTATGCATGAGTAACAAACAACACCTTATCAATTTTTAACAGCCCATACGGCCCAACAAGGACTCTGAAACTTTATGATTGATAGTCTCTTGCTAAATGAACTCACAACAGTCACTGCCACTAACAAATACTGTATACAAATGGAATCTACATAATCAGCAACCAGATACATACACATATATGATATCCATAAGTACAATGATATGCATAGGAAATCGAGGGGTCTAAAATGAGCCAGGTGACCATTCTAGACCCTTTGCCGCGTGGTCCCCAGGTCCATTCCAGACCCTCAGTACTTGAGGGTATACGGGTATAATTAAACATCATATCCCTATTGTATCCCAAATCCTTTTGCAGGTTCAATCGACCTTGGCACATCTCCCCATTATCGTTGATGGTTCTCCTCTGATCAGCAAATATGGCTGGTCAAAAATCCATGAAGATCCATGAAGATTGACTATATTTAGTAGAATATTATATATCCAATGAAATACAGGACTTCGCCAAATAGACATGGCTGATCTATGCTGATCTTATTTCATCATGCTGCAAAACGCGAAATTTATTGGAATATAAGCCGCAATTAAATATGCATGTCCATACATGTTTGGCTAACATCGATCATTCACCAAGCATTGGCCAAGTTTGACTCAAACCCCAGGGCAGCCTCGAAGGCATACGCTTCCCGCACGACCTGCCGATTGGCGTTGTGTGGCTCAAAGCTGAGGAACGGAAATCATCGGGAAGGGGTCCTCACCAAACGGTGCTGAAACCAACTATATTCAAGAGATTTTGAGAAAATCCGCGCCTGTAACTGGGGAATTTGCCCAAAGAAACTGCGGACATGAGGAAAATTCAGCAGTGAAAAGCAGGGTATCACCCCATGATTTTGCTATATTTTGCTGGTTACCGTACAGTCCTGTGTGCATTGCTTAAAGTATATGCGGCCCGTAGTTTTCATCTCCTTCTGAGCAGTTGCAGCAAATATCCATGAAATCAACTAGTTCAGTAGAACTCATACAAGTATCACCAGCCAATCACCATGTCTGGTAGTGGCCTCATTGTTGCAAACAAAACTTCTATGTTACAATGTTTGTTGATCATTATCTTCATGCTGAGCACCATGGTTGGGGTGAATATCCTAATTTTATTGCAAATGTAAATGAAACCCGCATCTTGCTGATAAATATCCCTACTTTAGCCCAATACCATAGTAACCCGCAGGGTGTGCTGGTCACTGCTCCATCTGTCGTCGCCTTTCCGATCGCATCTGCAGCAACACGCTCATGCTCCTGCTGTTCATCACTGAGTGGTGGCCCGTGTCAACTACACCGCGAAAAATATCTTTCAAGCAGCGGTATCACCTTTATTAGTCTTTAGTAGTTACAGTAAAGAGCAATTGCTGTTACAGCCACATGAAACTTGACATAGCTACATGCCAGAACGACCACACGCATCTTCCCACCACCTGAAAACGGCCCTGGACATCATCTCAGGGCTCTAGAATTCATGGCGGTGAAGGCTAGCCTGAAAGACTTCATTATCTTTCGGCCAACACAAAACACCTTATGCGATGTATATATATATATAGACACATACACCGTAGATATAGATATTATACATTTATATTTACATATATTCATATACTATAATTAATTATACGTTATAAATATACATATATATATATATAATGCAATCTTACAGTAGATGACAATCATAGACAAGTAATCATCCATTTTTGCTTCCATAAACAGGTTTTGCTGTAATGGAAGTTCACCATTGGAAGGTCCTCGATGTCCACGATCAAATCATGCATCTCATCGTCTGGATGCGTGGAGCAGTCGTCCTCCTGTGGGAATGGGGCAATGGAAGTCCACGACACAGCAACAGTGGCTCTGCAGTGGCAAAGAATCTCAAGTTTTCAACCCGACTCATGATAATGACAGGCACGATATATTAGCCAAGAAACGCAAGAAACAAGGGATACACGTGCAAATGAGCACGTAGTAGCCAACAATATGATATAGTTGGTGGCGGAGCCACCCGCACCCAAACGATAATCAATCAGCATGCAGCATGCTCCATTTCCTGGGATGGAAACAACAGTGAAACACAGTGAAACAAATCACTATATATATTTGAATCTCCAGCAGCTCACACGCTTCAGAATCTGTTGTTTGGCATGTTTCATAGCCCATGATCCCTTATCTTATTTAGGTTGAAAGTGAGCACACTCCATCATCCAACATGATTCACCTCGCCTCATTCATTCTTGGACCAGATTCCGTCAAAAATGGGGATTTCTAATTGCCATGTCTGAATATCGGAGAGTAAGCACCTTGGTGAAGGTGACACGTTGTAACCACATCCCAACCTGCGTTTGTCTCAAGTCAGGTGTTGACTGCACTGCGGCGCCGGCGCCTAGCCACAGGCATGGCTAGATCCCGTGGTCCTCCAAATCTTTGGTTTAATCAAATAATGTCAACTAATTGTTAATGTTGGATTGTTTGGATTTGTTAGATTTGTTGTGCAACACTTTTCCACACAATTTTGGAGAATCATATTTCTAAGAGCAAGACCTGTCGATAATCTTGCTGAGTAAAGGATGCAATTTGGTGACTAATTGGATCAAAATGGTAAATACAGTGATTGTTTACAAAACTATCCAAATTGCTGAGACATGTTAACACTAACCTATACAAGTAGACAACTTAAGTTTTGAGCTTTCAACACCAAACCATCCAATCTTGTAGTATTGTACAAGTATCGTACCCCACAACCTGACCCATTTGGGTGAAAGTAATTTAGCATCCTCGTGGCTCATCCTGTTCGGACAGAATAAAGAGATAAAAAGAGAACGTCCAAAGAACTTCTGGGGACCAGTGAAGAAAATGATGGAGTGTGGAAGCTTCCCTCTGTGGGTACATATTCATCAACGAGTTTCTATGTTCCGTACATCCCAACTTGACACACTTCAGAGACACAGACATGAATGAACTTTAGCGAAGCACTAGCGAGATAACATGTATTTGGCGTTCAGGTATACATGGACGGGACCAACTAAGTCCAAAGATGTGGTTGAAAGGCTCAATACCGACGACTGACGACTTTAATGCATCTGTAAACTACATCTTGATTGCCCTTTCCATCAACTGTCAACAAGCGATCACGAATCCTACGGAGCCACACAAGGTCCGCACTCGCAAAAGCCATGGATTTCTTCATCCATGGCGCCTTGGTCAGATTCTTCAAGGTGAAGCAATGACCGATAGCGGGCAACTTAAGTAACTTCAAAGAAATCACAAGTTCAATGCAATTGAGACTAAATGACGGTATGTTATGTTCTTGTATGCTGATTTCTTTTCCTCTGAACAAACACCCCAGGTTAGAAAGTGGCACGACCATGGATCGAGTAAATGCCGGATCGTTTTGGGATTGGAACAGAGCCACTGTAATCGAAGGCATAATCGAAGGCAATGTAGTGTATAGTGCTTCCCACTGCCCCAAATTGTGGATGTCAAACTATTCTTTGGGGAATTTGAGAACACCCACTTCTTAGGTAGTTTTACAGGGGCCATTGGAATGCGCCCATTGTTCACCTGATTGCGGCTAAACCACTGCTGCCTCGCCTTCCCCAAATCCCTGGATTGCTTGAGTCTCAAATCATCTTGAAAATGGGGGTGGCGACTTGCCAGCGGTATCCATCCCCCAAAACAGAGAGGCATACAGTGCCGTTGAGAAGCCTTTGGGTTTAGAAGGGTTTGGAGATGTTCAGAGTGGTCCTAACCCAAATCATGTGTCCCGACCACTTCGTTTGCTGGAAGATCGCCGCCTTCTCAGAAGGCGAGCTGGAAATTTGGGGATGACTCACCGACTCACCGAGTATCCAAACTCAACAGTTGGCGAGTTGGTGAATGTATAATGTATAATGTATAATTCGCAACAATTCACAACATAATGACGAACATGAGTAACATGAGGCCTTTCCTGCATCCAACCCGTCCAACCCGTGGATTTTCCACAGATTTTATTCCTTCAGATATGACCCACGCCCAAAACCATGGTCAAATGCCAAGGCACTGTACTGTTGGGATGGATGCCAAAAGTCTGGTGAATTTCAAACGCTTCGAACTTTCAACGTCGATGAGTGCCCAGCACATGGTCACATGATGTCACATGAACATAACCCCTGCCATGCACTACTTTCAGCCCCAAAGCGCCTAAGGGTCTTAGCCTCAAGTACTTCTTCGGCCGTCGAAAACCAATCCGGGCCTCCAACTCACAGGGGCTCAGGTTCTCACAGGGATAGTTTTGACTCCAGGGATGAATTCATGACTCATTCACAACAACTCAGAGTTTCAAACCTGATTCAACACGGCTTTAGCGCAACTTTAAACTTCATGCTTGATGGCTCGGCCAAAAGATGAACCACCATGTAGGGGCTTGGCTCACTGTGAAGACAGCCGGCATGCCTCCATTTGGAAGGAGGTCTCGTGAGGATTGTTTCGCCTGAGAAACAAGTGATCTATTGACGTCTATTGACCTTGTGCTAAAAATAATCAACTCTCAACGAAAGCTATGTGGCGAAACCCTAAGCAAACAAACTGTATTTAGTATGTTTGAATCACAATAAAACATACTATAACATACAACAATGTAACTGGATGAAGCTCAAGGCGGATTGGATTTCTGGGATGCAAAGGTGGCTGGATGACCCTCCGGTCCCACTTGGTGATTTATCAATTTGGATGCGTTACTGCATTTCGCATTGGCCCTGACCTCCCTCTCATCCAAGGTAGCACACCCAATAATGCCATAGGCGCTATGGGTTGTTTGTTCAACTGTTTAATACTTGTCGATATTTATGATGGCTAATGGAAGCAAAATGGGGATTCCTTCTAGTGGCTTTGATACTAGCTGCATTCATGAATGGATGTCTGTCTCTGGCATGATCAGAGGCATGAAACTTTACATTGTCCCATTGTTCCAACTTTTAAGTTGAATGAAGAAACCCCTCGGGGTCAGAGCCAGTGGGTAAGTGATCAACAATGGTATGGTATGTCGGGCTTTTAGGCAACATATTTCCCAATGCCTCCACATGTTTCCCATACAGTAACACTGACACATAGAAACACCACTCTAATACTCTATACATACTCTACATCATTGCTGTCATTGCCCAATTTTTCCCGACAGCTTTCATCGATCCTTGTCGAGGGCCTCTCCTTAAATCCTTTCTCCCATGGCCACCCGACTGGCACCTGCATGCCATGGCCTGACGTTGGCGACTTGCTCCAAGAGTCTTGAAGACTTGCTACGGATATTAAATCAGGAGACATCATCTAAGAATCTATAAGTGCATAAGACATAACCAACTGAAATGGGGATGTCGAAGCCATTCGGGCATACGTCAAGAATGGAACTGACAGGAACTGACACCAAGAAATGACCAGCCAAATCCAGTCAATCTGTCTGCAGCTGCTTTCAATTCCACCCCTCCATATACACTACAGTAGATGAAAAAATATTCAAACCCTGCAACAGCACTATGTTGAACCCCCGCGCCCTCAAATCTCAATGTTTCAGCACGCGTGTTACCAAAAGTGATGTTGGGGATTTGATTTCTTTAGTCCATTGGGGCTAATGAACTTCAGGTTACATTAACATTGAACTTTGGGGGCGAGCAAGGGGTCTGAATATTCCATGCCTCAGTGAATACCAAGCTACCAAATTGGACATATCATTTTATTTATATGATTTTATTTTGTAGTATAATATTATGTTATATTATGTTATATTATGTTATATTATATATATACTATATTATGTTGTATTATTATATATTACGATGTATTATACTATACTATATTATACACACACCAAATCTACCTTGTTTGATTTAGTTCAGGCAACCTACCTCCCCTTGAACTTTAGTCAGCCGAAGGTTTGCTTCTCCAAGGCCCCGGGCAAAGAAATCCCTCAGGTCTGGCGCCAGCTGCCGCTGTGTCGCATAGGCCTGGAGTTGACGGGTTGAAAAACTCAAAAGGTGGACACAGACCGACAATCGTAACTGATTAGTGGTTGAGTCACCGGCCCAAAAAGTATGAAAGTCAGTTGGGTCATGGTCCTTTTTATTGAGCTGAATATTATTGAACAAATATGTGAAAACACGAACTAGCAAACTCTTTTGAGCAGAACTGATTGGGTCAGGTTTCCTGGCTGCCTCTAGTTGCTTTGATATATCCAAAGATTTTGCTCACTTGGGTACAAAACACTTCAAGCATCTGATTTTAGGATGACAGGATCGAGGATCTTTTCCAACCACCAAACCAAAGAAGGACGAAGACATGCCAAAACTACAATTAATCCAACGGTGTAAAAAAGAAAATGCACAGTCACTGATCTCTAGCCTTGGTGTTTCTCATCACCGGCAGCAGCGGCTTCGCTTTCTGCTTCCTGGCAAAACATCATCTTATGGCACTGGGAAAGGGGCACCAAGGGTTGAAGGAAACTGTGTATTCCGTCGAACTATGTCATGTTGAATCACAAATCTTCGAAGTATGGAAGTCAAGCGGGATCATCCCAGGTAGGACCGAAACAAGCAATGCCGGAACCCAACAGTTGTAGCTTTAGTGATCTTCTGTTGAAATCGAAAGGAATGTGCATTTGCAATCATGTTGGTACCGATGCAAAAAAAAGTATTAATGTGTAGTGTCTTTGTGCACAAGAAGGAAGGTGACATGCATAATTAGTGCCAGTTGTTGATCAATCTTGAAAAGTCCAAGCAGTGTGCAAAACCTTCTGTTATCCCCTTCTAAGGATTAGTTGATAGATGTTGATAGTGATTCCCATATTGGATTCATTCATAATCCGCTGTAAATTGGTACTATAAACCAGCAACCAGCAAGGATCCACCCAACTTCTTGGCATTTTGATGGATCCACTAAGTTGATGTTTATCCCACCATAGCTTTGCCCCCATCGCCTGTCATTGACAAGAGGTGGCAGCGCGCCCTGCCGTGCAACGCCCAAAAATATGATTTACAGCAATATGAACTACATTGGGACCATCATTCCAGCTGGTGATACACGAATCAAGTCTTGAAAGCATGAAGCAGCCATGTAAGGTTGCCTCTCTTTAAGCTGCCCCGCCGAAGGTGGAAGTATGTTCATATTTTGCCGGATGACCCCAGAATTCCGCATCTGCCAAATACACACTTGGATTATCACAATCTCGTACCAAGTTGTAGGAAGCTGTAGCAGGTAGCAGAATCGCCGCGTCGAATTTCAGCAATTCACCCATTTGAAAACTGCTTTTGATATTTCTCGGGGGTCCCCCAAATCTATCACATTGTTATCATGGCAACGTGGCTCGGGGTATATTGTGGCTATCAGCCGCTAACACTAAAAGGGCGGAGGTGGAACATCAGTGTTCTGGGGATTTTTGGTTGTCTTCGTCTTCAGTATATGTCGGATGCTGCACATCATTCCATGTCACGCCGCACAGGGTCTGAGGAGCCACACCAGGGGCTTCCTAGAAGAGGTGGTACCAACTGGAACTGCCCTATGATATGTCTGAGAAGGATGCAGTTTCCTTCTCCAACCGGGCCTGTTTGGAAGAGCTTTCGCGCAAGTCGCATAAGCCTAGCATTTCGGGGTTTGGGATGGGAAAGGATTGAATGTGCAAAATGTCCTTTTGGAACATTTGGCATCCGGGCTCATCCAAGATAAGCACCAACCAACACTAATCACCGAATCCCCTGAATAGGAGGGGCCATCTAAGCAAGGTAGTAGGTGATGGCAGCATAATATGGGATCGGGACAAGAAAAATGGACTATAATTGAATAATTTTATTTGGATCATGGGTCAGACCGTGGTCCCATAATCGGTGTTCCCGAGTCAATCCACGATCCATTGGGCATGTCAAAATATGACCTTGCATCAAATTGATTTTCGTCAAACACATTTGAGATGACATGGTGAGTTGCAAATTAAATCTGGGTAATTAGACAAACAATAGAAACTCAAAAAAGGACGCAATGCCCCAAAATATGTGAACATGCTTGAATATGATTGAACATGCTTGATCACAATGAGGCCACCATTTGCCTGGGCCCCCAAACTCTGACTTTTAATCATCCAGCGACCCGAGCGCAGTCAGGGCGCTTCAGCCGGGGAAACTGCGCCCAATGAAATCCTGGGATAGCCCCTTTCAGTCTTGATCTGTGTGGCCTCGTTAAGCACAGCCGAGTATTGGATGAAGTCTCTTGAAATGGAGGCAGTCAGGAGATGTTGAGATATGTAGCATGATTGCGTTCTTTAATGTTCTTTACCTTCTTGCCTGATGCCAACATTTGAAGCGTCGTTCGACCCAAGGTCAGCTCTACAAAGAAAACCAACCCAGAAAGCTATGGCAGCATATGGCAGCTATGATTTTGCCTGTCCTCTCTACTTTACACATTGACATACAGCTGGGGTGAGATCCATGATTGCAAATGGTGAAGTCCTCACATGTCGTTTGATGTAGACCCGTGGATCTGCTGCATTCAAGGACAAAAGCTGGAGCCAGACAAGGCACATTGCCACATGTGTCAAAATCATGCATTCATGCATCACAACAGAGCTGGTTGATGGTTTCAATTTGTTGCGACATGTTTCAACCTCAACTCATCCCACAAAGAAATACGAAGGAATGGAATATTAAGAGCAACTTCTCGAGGAAACTCAAAACCATGCCCGCAAGATCCATGGGCACTGGGTCTCTGATGTGGCTCAATCGCAAAGTCGAAAGTTTCTGTTGCAGTTGCAACATGGTGCCAAATCGATAACATTCGGAAGGGACACCACAGCCACAGCTGCAGTAGAAACAGGGACATCATGTAACAACAATCGCCGCCACAATGACCAGAAACGCCAAACCAACATGCAACATGTAACGGCTAACAACAAAAAACAAGGAAGAGAAAACCGTTCAAACTCCGGCAAATTGGCATTGCCAGGTTGGCATTGAATTCACGAATCCCTATTAATCCCTAGTATTCCACAATATTCCGTATTCCAGGATATTGCAGCTGGGCTAACTTCACATGGCAATCCATGACTTTGCGTGCAGCTGCTGGGGTTCCCAACCAAGTCTTGCTCGAAGACGTCCCGGTTGCGAGTTTGATCTTCATCCTCTGTGGTCAAGGCGCCGCTGAAGACTGGGGAAGTTCAGATAAGTTTTCCTTACGATATTGGATTTGGATACAAAGGGATACAATGGGGACATAGAGGACGTAGTAAACTTCTTTCTTACTTGACATGTGGGAAGGGATCCTTCAGGCTATGGGTCATGGATACACATATAAACAGCATGAGCAGCTGTTTAAGTCAAAGCAACCAATCAGACTTGATCACAAATGATTTTTAAGTACATGAGGTCTATGTGGTTATACAATGTTATACAGATAGCTCAACTTTCTGGTGTCAGAAAATCAAATGGCGGTAGGGAAAACACTGTGGGACAAAGTGGGAAACCAACGGTGAACAACTACCGTTCACCTGCCAGGTCAAAAACAGCACCATACAAAAGGTGCTGCACCCGTGCAGGAGACGGAGACCCTTGAGGGCGTGGACGCATCCCTATCGATGCTCGGTATATTGAATGTATCAATATGTATCATACGATCATATACGGTCTTCCCATCAATGATAATGCACTATCTCGCGAAGTGGCTCTCTTGAACTTACCCGGAGGAAAATGCCGAACGTAGATACATATGACAAACATATTCTTCAGCTGGGTGTGAAAGTAAATGTTCCCCCATTTCAAACAGAAAAGAATGGCCCTCCATTCCAAAGCCTTCCCAGAAATGAGGAACTCACCATGTTTCACAGGTATGGCTTTCCGAGCTGATCTTGGATTCGTGGCGCATTGGGAAGCATCCCGCGCTGCTTCGGTCCCAAGCTGCAAGGTGCCAAACTAATCAACAGGACCAACACGGGTTGATCCATTGTACAACTGGCTGGCAAAGATGGCCTGAGCGACCTGAACTTTGACGCCCAAACCCTGGCCCATCAGCTAGGACATATATCATTCTAATATTTTTTTTTCCTTGGCCAACAAAAATTAATGGTTTGAATGGTTTGCACATTTTACCTCATCAACGGGATGGCTAGTAGTACAGATAGCAAACGATAGCCAGTGCCCCAAATCGGTGGTTCCCACCATCTCGTCCTGGAAAGGATAGCTATTGCTCGCGGCCTCAGGGGAGCTGACAAGGCATGCCAAGGGGATGGGATGGCGCGGGTTCATTGTCTTTGTTTTTGCGCCAAACTAACACACCATACCAACACGGTACACAGGTGAACAAAACTCAAGTCTTGCAGTTCTTGCTTTTCTTCTGCAACAAACTCAGCGGGCTCTGGGCTGGCCACACACAGCCTGCTGCCAGTTTGGGGTCTCTGGTCTTGACCATACTCGCACATTGCTTTACTTCGTGTGATCCCCAATGAAATAAAAACATTCTTGCAAAAATGGTATATACACGCGGATGCCCTGACACTTGTTCTGCCATAAATTGCTATGTTCTGACATCTATCCTGATAGTTCCTGCCAAAAAAATCTGACATACATTCCGCCATTTATCCTGACATGTAGTCTGACTCGGTTTGACCTGTGGCCTGACATTTATTCTGACATTTGGGTATTTTTGGGTCACATGTTCGTTCTGACAGTGGTCCTGATATCAATTCTGACATTTGATCTGTAAAATTTTCATCTAACACATATTTTGACATGCAATCTGACATGTATTCTGACATCTGCGCCCGCACATTTCAAGCGGCATATGTTTGACATCGACTCTGACTTGTAGTCTGGCGCTTGATCTGGCAATTTTCATGTGGCATATGTTCTGACATATATATATAATTATAAATATATATATGTATGTAATTAACCTAGAGATTCTCGCCTGACAGGCGGGGAAACACCAACTCTTGGCAGGATATGAAAGAATCCGTCATCCAAATACCTGCTTTCAAATTCAACAAAAGAATAAACACCGTTTACACCATTCGCCAATCGTTTGACTCAGAAGCCACCACACCTCCCTCCTGATCTGGGACACCCAAACCAGGAACATCAAGACCTCACGTCAGGCTGGACGCCAACTAAATCCCAGAATTTGGGATACCTTGAGCTATGGGTCAACATGATTTACCCCTATGGTTCATGGCTTAAAGATGTCATTCAACCCCAGAATTCGATACTACTCTTACTACTCGATCATTAGATGCTAGACGTGCATAGAAATGCACTGTTGAACAATTTTTGCAGGGCCTTGCCAACTCCTTCTGCCATACTCAACAGTAATCTGCCAGCTGTCAGCTGGCGATCTCAACCCCCCGACTTTTCGGATCTTTTCTATTTCTTGGCTGCGCCATGGCTTTTTGACAAAAACCATTCTTGTCTAGTCAGTCATACCCTCATACCCTCATGTTTTGGATATGTTTGTCCCATGTCGTGACTGTTGTTGGTGAAACATCACCTGTTTGGTGCGCATATAATATTGCAACTATTGAGAAACAACAAAATCCAATAGGACCGTTTCATGCAGCAAGCAGGGCTACCACATGCCCAACGATTTAGATGCTTGCCCCACCAACCCTCATATATGTCTGTGTCAAATGTAATTACATCCTGATGATCTCAAACCATCCAACATGATTCACAAATTGAAAAATAAGATCAGGATTTTCCACTCCCGTTTTGCGGTTGGAGCAACGATCTGACGCTGGGTTTCCCTGGCGCCAATGGCCCACACATCCACCACGTGCCAATACCTCAAATCAAGCAGCTTCAACGGGTCAAGCCATGGCACCATATTTTTTGAGTTTTGACGGCCACAACTAAATCATGCAGCGAAACCAAGTTGTGTTGGTGGGTTGATATGGGTTGATGTAGTTAAAATTTCCATATCTCACCCACTCAAAGTGCCTTTTGGCAGGCCATTGAACCATCTGGCTGAACCTCAAAGTTTCCCCAGACTCTAACTGAAACTTGTGGAGGTCCCTGGTTGCACCACCACGTTTAGTCCATGAATGAATTTCTGTACAAGTCGTCATGGTTTGGAAAAGAAAACCTGCGCAGAACCACAGATTAGGCCTGGGTCCAAGGTTTGAATTTACTATCATCGATATATACAGTATATATATATACACACCCACACACAAACACATAGAATCTTGGATACGCAACAAGAAAAGTACACCAATTGAATGCCCCCCACTTTCATATCTACAGATAGACAGAGAATGCCAGAGACATCAGATATGTATATTATGTTGCATCAGAGTAGTTAACAAGCACAACCATTTGGCCAAGCTGCCCAGCTTCGTCTCGATAGATACTACCCACCATCGCAGGATTCACACCCCATCACCAGGACCGCAAAAAAACTCCCGATTTTGCTCCCATCCAATCGGCCCCTGTAGGGTCACTTTTTCTCGTACAACTCTGGAGCCCAATACTTCCGTGTTCCCACCTGTCACTAGGCGGTGATGAATCTGGGGGCGACATTGACGTGAAATCAAACCTTTGCTGATGGTACAATACACACCTGAAATATTGATAAATATTAGCTTTTTGGGATGATTCTCTTTGCTAATAATCATTGATTGGCCTTGGTCGACCAATGAGGTCGGCCAACCATAATTGATGTACCCATTGAATTGAGAATGTTTCATTGCTCACCTGTGAGTATGGGGTTGGCTCGGCCCTATCGCCATCTTCGGTGCCACACGGCTCCAAACAACTCCAAGATTTGAATCAATGACACACCAGTCTTCCATGTTGATTGTATTTGATTATTAGTAGTTTGTCTATGTTGTTATTAATTGCTCAATTCTTGTTATGTATTTGTTAGTTTTGTTCGTGCATATCTCTAGGATTTGCGAGATCCGTGTGGTTTCCTCGCCTGAGCGCATAGGAAGCGCCCAGGCTCTAGCCGCCTGGAAGCAGGGTCAGGGTTGATCCACCTTGTTGGTCATCTTGGACCAAATCTGAAATCATGGAAAATCCATGAACATCCATTGACATCAAGCACTTTCTTTGAAATGGGAAAAGATTTTGAATAGTATGTGAACAAACATCTATCTATATATATATAAGAATATATATATATCTATATACATACTGGGCAAATTATAATATTTCACTAACCTGAATTAAGGCAATTTTGGGATGATTTCCCTTATTAACCATGATTCCAGTGAGGTCGCAGTGAGGTCGCCATAATTTACCAATATATATATATCATTATATATATTTATATATATTATAAATAAATATGCCAAAGATGTCACATGTCATGACATGTCACCGGCCCGGAATCTATTTTGGCAAATCCTCGTGATGTATAATCTGGTGAGGTTGCTGACCCCACACCGGATGATGAGTAATCCGATGGGAAGCGGCATCTTTACTGGAAAGTTTGTATCCCATCGCGGTAGAATGGAAACGCATGGAAAAGTTGTATGGCCGTCATGAAATTCCACCACCCTCTGGCAACTTAATCTGGAACAAGGCAAGGAATGGAGTTTCGCATTGAAATTTCATCGCACCTGGCGAGTCCAAAGTCTGACAAGACCACGCGACACCTGGCGAGGTGCTTGACTCACTAACAGGGATATTGGACAAAACTGAGGACAAGGTGGGGATATGCGGGATATGATGTAGCCAACAGACATGGTCATATGACCAATAATCCACAAAACACATCCAAACAAATTGGACCCAGGGGACCACGCATGTTAGATCATGTTAGTAATCTTCAACGTCTCGTCGCAACATTCAGTGAGCCATTCTGTGGGGCGTTTTGACCCATACCCAAATCTACGTGTTACGTGGTTGAAGGAAAACACATCGTGGTCGTTCCTTACAGTCACCTCAAGCGGCAAGTCCGAACAAAAAAACGGCTTGAGACCGGCCGAAAACACTTAGGTCATTAATGATGCTTTGCATATTCGTAACATTGCTACATGGAAGTGCAATCCTTGATGAGGGACAGACCATGCCTCATTTGTTTGGTGCTTTGACACAGTTTGACGACAACATGTGGCTGGATGGGATATATAATGATTGGAATGGCTCGCCATTTGTGGCCCCCCAAACGGCCCAAGTTTTGGCAATAGCTTAACCTTCATCTTTTTATGTTCTAAAACATGTCTTGACTTCGTATCCCCCGTAGCTTTTTTGCAGGCCATTGCATACATGCCCCTGTGTATCTTGGCTCTTCACCATTAATCACGCATGGCCTGAGTTTTAAGCAAGAAAGGTGCAATGCTACATGAGTTGTACGTGCGAAAATACGCCAACCCACAGTAGAGCTTGGTATGGCGTAGTGGTCAGCTCGTTTACAAGACACCAAAATCCTCATGATGCTGCTGCACCGTTTCGCTAGAAAATCTTAGGAAACGAAACCCCAACGTTTTTAGTCGCAATTTATGGAGGTGTCTTAGGCTATATTGAGCCAGATTTGGGGGACGCTTTTCCCTGAGCCTTAGGCTCTTGCAAAGTCCTAACTACTCCACTTCTACTGATCGCTACACCGAAGAAACCTGGTGAAATGTACAAATATCTACAGGCATGTGGTGACAAATACAATGACTTTTACTTGGCGCGTTTACTGACATATATCATATTTGCTGACGCATGTTTGCCATACGTACGGACCGGCATTTTAATTGACATATTTCTACATCTGTGCAGATATCAAGATTATCCAAGAATGACATACTGACTGATTCATATACAAGTATTGCCAACATATTTGCTTACACTTACTTGCATATGTGCTGCCGCATTTGTTTGACATGTTTTCCTGACAGAATAACTGACATCTGTACAAACACGTTCTGACCTTGACAGAGATATAGTATGATATAGTGATAAATAATTACAATATAATCATAGAAACATCTGCGCGACAACGGCAAAAAGGAATATGCAAAGGAAGGAGCGGAAAAGATTGCAACGGTGAACACAAGAGAAAAGAAAAGAGAAAGATAGAAAGAGAGAGAGAGAGAGATAGAAGGACAGCTGACCCAGAATGTAGAGACTCTCACCTGACAGGTGGGACAAGCACTTTGTTAAAGATTGGTTGGGCCCCAATATCTGGCTAGATTATATATTAAAAATTATTAAATTATAAGATTGAAATAGATTGAAGTAGGGGTTGTGAAACATGCGAAATCTATTCAAATCCCAGAAACTGCCCAAGGAAAGGGGGCCCCACCTCGGATCTCTGAGGTCACATCGATCAATGAGGAGGTTGTGTGCCTGACCCAAGCCCGGTGCCCGGGATCTGTAAACCATGGGGAGGTTGGGTGTTTCGCCCATGAAAATGAGACATAATCTGACCAGTATCCAGATTGGCAGATTGGTGGCCGAGACAACTAACATGATGATGCTAAGACGCCGAAGTCGGATGTTAATCCTCAACAGTAGAATTTCAACAGTCCCAAAGTTGAATATTTGTCACCATCAAAGAAAAGCATTTGATTTACCCATCAACAAATTGAATTCTGTCCAAACTGGGAATTGTACCGTCAAAAGCGATGGTGCAGGAAACATGCCCTAGGAGGCCAACCAATGGCTGTTTTCAATCAGGGAACAATCAACAAATGATGAAGAAATATGAGATATTCTGAGATATTGGATATTGCCAACAAAACTGTGTTTACAACGTGTTTACACCCCTTTTCGGGCTGCGCAAACGATGGCTCCAACCTGCCTTGACATCTCTGTGGACCACGCCGCAGGTGTGCAAGTGCAGAATGGCACTGATGACCTGGCCCAACACTAGGGCCACTAGGGCCCGCAAGCAGATGCCTACTGACATCTACTGACCTACTGGGGCAAAGCCGGGCAAAGCAAGTACATCCAGCAAAACAACACTACGGCACTACGGCAAGCGGCAGGGATGAGTGGTGTTTTGAGCAGCCACAAAGTGGAGGTGTGTGAAATGTGACCAACCAAAACGGGGATAGAACACGATAGAACTATGACTTCTATGGGTTAAAACGGTGGAATTTTGTCAGTGGTGGTGAAACAGCAATGATTTAAATTAGGAACTTTCAGTTATGGGATTATCACGAACTACGATTGTATTGTAAGCATATTGCCAAACATAGATAGACACAAGAAGCTAGTAACATCTGCATGGCACTGGCAAACTAGGGCCCAGGATGGTAAACCCTCCATAACCCTCCCCAAAACTAAGGATACTTAGATTACATCAGATGTTATCCCAGATGTTCAACGTATCTTTTTTTAACCACTTGCTTCCAAAAGAAATCAGACTTTGACACCTCAAGTCCTAAGCGGCTATTGATATACCACTCCGTACCCCATAAAAAACATAATCTTTCTTGTTCAGCTGTGTATTTCTGCATTTGTAGCTGAAAACCAATCTGGTCCAGTGCACCAGTGACCCAAAAGGGCACCATGGCAGCCCAGCGGTGCCTGCTGCACCACATTTCCCAAGGAAAACGCGTCGAGGCCAGCAGTCTGGTGGCTGCTGGGTGGTGAGGTTTGTTTGTTGTGAGGGTGGCCGGTTTTGCATCCAAATTCTAGATATGCTTGATCTATTCTAATGTTAATGTATATGCGTGTATACAATAAATAACTGTATATATAATAAATAAATAAACAAATATATATATATATATTTATATATATATACATACTAAGATGATGTAATTATACATGCAATGAACATAGAAAGCCATCAAGCAAGACAGACTTTAGGCATTTTTTGAATCCTGTTTGCCAGTGAGGGATGTCAATGCCCAAAACTACCCGATTCATTTGGAACATTTTGGAACAATATAATTCCATTTGATTCAGCAAGTCCATGGCATCATAGATTCTTCAGATTGGGCAGCGGCTGGATGAGAAGGGAAGGGAAACGTGCTTCAAACTATGGTAGACATGGCCACCACAACCTCACAGAACCCAAGACATCCCAAGACATCCCAAGACACCCTCTTTACTAACCAACAGCTGCACAGCTAAAATAGTTACTTTTTGATCAGCCAATGAAAATTGTCCAAGAGCCAACTATCCTTGACCCCACCAGGCCCCTACCACTTACGCTAAGTCCTGCCTATCGAAGAGTCCCAATGTAAGGGGGATGACACGACTACTATAAATAGGGTTCTCCCTTTACAGCCAACTTACGGCTTTTAGGGAGCCATGATGGAGCCCACTTATGGCTAAATCAGCTTTTCAATATTCTCTTCTCAATGCGGATGAAAGAAATGCACACACACACACACACATAAATCCACCAATGATTTACCTCTAATCTAAAGACTCAACTCTTGTTGGTTAACTTTCACGTTATCATGGTTGATGCGCAACACATTGATTATCATATCAGTTCAATAAGTTCTGTTCTATCTTCATAAAGCGGACCGTTCACCAGTGCGGTAAGGCGCCTCATCACCCGTTTCCTTGGCAACCCATTTCAATGCTTTTCGCAAGTGTCCCTGGAGGGCGCTGGGGGTTGGCAGTTTCAACATGTCTCAACCCATTGAAACAATGGATGGTTCAATGTTCGCACAAAATGCGTGGTCTTCTTGAAGTTTGACCCGAACATGAAACAATGAACACCCAACCACTGAATGACCAATAAGATAGGCTCTTCCGAAACTTGGGGACCTCAAAATCAAACGCCTGGTATTCGAAACTTAGAAACAATGATGCCAACTGAGCTGGTGTCTTTTTCCGTTTTGGCTCGGCTATACCTCAAAAACACCATGATATAATCTGGCTTAGCTCCCTTGTATCATCAAACTGAAAACGATCCATATTTATATATGTCGTTGGTGATTCCAGTAAGATCCCTTACTACCCTAATTCTGTAACATTCTTTAACATCACCTTGATGGCTTTGATTGACCTCCCTGAAGAATGATTGTCAGTTGCGACCATCATAATCACCGTGAAAGGATGCAAAACCAAAAAGGGCTGAAACCTCCAACCAAATATGATATATATTCATATCTAGCACACAGTCTACGTGTATATAATTGTGTATACTATACAAACACCTACAATCCATCCAATTTGCATCCTCCGGAGTCTCCGCATGCCTCAAACTTCTCCATGATGACGTAACACCGCTCCGCGTCCACAAACTCCTGTCGCCGTGGGCGTCCCGTGGCGTTCGCCATTTCCAAGTGGCTCCGTTGCAAGTCCCAGTTTTACAACTGAACGTGCCCCCTCATGTACCATCTCAAAATCAGGAGGGGTGATGTTTTTGGTAGCACGATTCTCTTGAAAGACCTAAGGTCTCTCAAAGGAAGACCATCAAACACGAATTAACAAAAATCCACTAAGAAATCCATAGTCAACCGCGGTTGTAGCGTTGACTACCTCGATTGCCACTGCCACCCTTCCAACCGACGCTGTCCGATCCTCTAAGACGCTGGCAATGTTTTTTCCAGTTGTGGCTTGTGATAGCTCCACCTGCCATGACGTGCCTTGCTCCCTATACCCCACCCGAATAATTCCAAAGACACGTTCTGGAGTGGAACACAGGATGGTCCTGAGTGGCAGTACTGGATTTCTTCATATTCTACAGTATAATTCTAAAATCTAAAAATGATCGACCATTGATGTCTGCGACCTTCGCAATCCAGGAACGTGCTAGCAGCTACTTTGACTAGCTGACCATTAGTTCGGATGCTTTTCTTTCCAACTGGGGTGTAATTTGAGAATACCTAAATTGATTTGCCTTGGACATGATTCATTCTAGTTGATTACTTGGATACAACTTTGTCTGGGTTCCACGTCAATCTTCTAGGGAGTGCATCCCAAAAAGATGCAAGTATCATGTTCGTACTGTAAAACCATCATGCAAAAACATCATGAGAAACAAAGAAAACCACAGTATGCAAAGGCCCTCAGATGCCATGTGGAAATGATCTGTCATCTATTGTCTATCTTTCAGCCATCCTCAGGACAAACAAATTGCACAACCAAGGAGCCAGCCTCTCGTTTGTAGGTGGCCCAGGCCGTCTTATTTCTCCGATCAAGCATCTGAATGGCAGAACAGATTGCTGGAATCAAGAGGAAGGGTGAACATGTGTGAAAATGCACAAACTACTGAGGTTGTATGGAATTGTCTTGGTCAAAAAGGTTGTCCAAACATCAATTGTCTTGTGCATTCGCCAGTGACGGTTTCAATGTAAGCAGGGATCCCTTATATCCCCTATATACCGCGTAGTACCAAACATAGTTCCACCAGTTCCACCCTATGCGCATCCAATTTTACCACCGAGCCAGCCAATCACTTAGCCTGCTTAGGGACCAACCAAACCACTCAGCCACTCACCAGGAGGACATGTTTTCTTTTCTGCAACTCATGGCCTTCTGCCCTGCACAGACATACTTACCTCTGTGCAAACTCCCCTGATGGCATTGCATCGGTCGTCAAGTGCCAGTCAGATTTGAACGCGAACAGGAGCTTTGCTTTACCAACAGCGTAAAGTTGAAAAGGCAATCATTCAAAGTTTCACAACATGTTGCTGAGGATGTGCTTTACATCGCTGAATGTGCAGATCAATTGTTTTTGACATTCTTTGACCAACTGTTTCGAGTTTTGACAACCCAATGCAACTAAATTTCTGCTACCGAGCGTGCGATGCCAGATTCGCAAATTATCCAGGTCCCTGCAGCATCGACTTGCAGGAACTTGGCTCATCAAAAGGCCGCGATGTATAGGACATTATAGGACCCCCAAAATTGATTTCAAGCAGCAACCAACCCTTTAAATAGAGTAAACAAATGTAAAGATAAGCTGAATACAAAATCAATTCAAGTACTGCTCATCTATATGTGGCCACTATACGCGGCAGAACCCCATCACGCTATACAAATCAAAAGAAGACATGAGCCGCGATTAGGCATCCAACGCCAAGCCTCCTTGAGATGCATCATCCGTGTCCTGGGACGCTGCTGTTCACCGTGAGTGGCGTCAATGACAAGTATCAACAAAAAGATGCTCACCATCTGGAATGGGAAATCCCCGTTTTCCCAGAATTTGTTGCAACCTTTCTGGCCGTTTCTGAATTTTGTTTTCTGGTGCTTCCAATCAGATTGCATGCGTGTATTGCGTATCTGTACAATTAAAAATACAATCAATTATATAATGTTCATGGCCTGCAATGAAGAGGCTATCCTTCTGGGTTTATTTCGACACAACTTGAATTGTTTAGGTGGAATTAGATTCAAGATAATATTCCCCCCAACATTTACAGTATATAAGCCTGAGAATCACGTCCATTCATTCTTGAAGGCTGCGGATGAAACCACCACAACTGCAAGGACCGGATCATCCCACACTTCTTAAGGCCTACTGTTGGTTGTAACATGTTGTAACCTGGAACCAATAGCCCGCGTCTAGCCGCCAGAAACAGAGATCATCCCACTCTGCAGGCCCCATCTCCAATCCAAGCAATCCAAGCATCCGATATATCCGATCCCTCCCCAAGCTGGACGTCATACTTCTTGGCCACCTTCTCCAGCGACGTCTTAAGTCTGCTCTGAGTTCCATTATGCTTGGGATCGTTGAAGGTGTGCATGTCCAGGACCAGGCTGTAGCCTCAGGCTGAAACATCAACCGGGAGGTTCAAGAAACACATGTTTTTTCAACAAAATTTTCCCAACTTGTTGTGACAAATCGGAAAAAGAAAAGATATTGATATTCATTGATATTCTATGTGCAACAACCTCCCCTGGTCCAACGTCAGCCGTGGAGCATGTGTGGAGGAATTCTTCGATCTTGTCCTCCTGGCCGCTCACCTCCACAGTCTTCAGGTGCGCTTGCAACACTTTCCCAAAGGCCGAAATGAAACTTCTCACGCGATTGTAGGCATATGTGTCCTCAAATGGGTAGCTGGACTAGCTGGATGGTGGTTAAGCCACGGCCCGAGAATATGAAAGTCAGTTGGGGAACATAATCCTTTTCTTTAGGACTGAGATAACATGGAACCTCGAAGCAGGTCGGGTGAAGATATCTCAAAATTGAAGATCAACCCTCAACTCACTCCATTTTGGCTGCAAACGCTTCTGACCCATAGTGTTCAAGCTGCACCAAACGTCTTATTAACATGAGGCATGAAAAACATTGAAAAACCATGCCGTGGACCGAAGCACATGTACAATCAGTACTCAGTATCCAATTCATTGGGTAGTGAAGTCTTTGTAGCATTGGCCCGCACGGTCCCCTCAAACACATGAACAATACATTTCAATGTGATAATGTCTGTTGGAGTCTCTTCGTTCATTGCCTCATTTTGTTAAGACCTCTGAGAGCAAGATGCACTGGGCCAAATGCTCTTGTTGGATCTTAGACCTACAATGAAAGACACTGCCCCTTTGAGACAATACCCAAACGTTCCAACACCGCACGCCTACAGTCTAGTTCAACCCAAAGTGTGAAACATACAGGTACGATGCAAAGAAACCAGGAAATATACTCATGCTGTGCAAAATTACCGAAAAACGGCTAGACTTGGGGTTAGACTGGGGTTCATGTTACAAGCGTGCATGTCAGGGAACATTTTTAACTTCAAACTATAACTTCATATAATTTCCATTGATTTCCCCACATTCAGATTCAATTCTGAGGTCCCAAATCCACCAAGCATCTCCATTTCCACGACCGTACCTGTCCCATGGCAACTTCTTGTTGATCATCGCCGCAGCGCGTTGGATCTCTTTCAGCATCGCCTCCAAGGGGACCGTGGGACTGAAGCCCTGCACCTCCCGACGGACTTCGGGGAACTTGCGACACAGGACGCCGATGAGCTTCACCAACTCCTCCTGTGTTGAATGATGAAACCATGGAGGCCATGGAGTTGAGAAATCCCATATGACCCCATATGACCCCTATCCCATACCCCACATGACCCCTATAAAAATAGTGTTTTTGGGGGGTATCACCATTTTTGGACAAACCCAGGAAGGGCACCCACTTAATGGATAACAAACTCTCTGGTGGTTTTAGCCATTCAGGTTCATCATCAACTTTGGGATCTGGGCAAATTACAATTAGAGTGATCCATTCTGGGTTGGTTTCGCTCACTATCATTCACAAATGGTGAGGTACTTGTCAAGCCACTCTACTTTATCAGACTTTTTCCAAAATGGGATCTTTGACCTGCCCACCAGGTCCACCATGATTGCCGATTGGACCACCTCCCCATGGTCGCTCCCCAAACGCTTCCCAGCGTGCCAACATTTTTGTGGGAGAGAATGTGTTCTTGTGATCCTCTTGCCCTCGATCTTTTTCCCCACTAAAGCATGAATGGAACAACAGTAAGTACATTACATCAGTATATGCAGAAGCAGGAAATCATACTTTTGTGCTCAAAAGGTAACCTCAGCCAAAAATGTGAGGGCATATGCAGCATATCTGACCAAAATCTGTGGTAATGACCCATACCCCATATAAATGGCTGAAGTGATCCTACCCATTTCACTGGTGTATTCAAATTTCTCTATGGGAAAACTTACTCATTCACACATGATTCACCAGTGATTCCATTTCCTTGTTGGAAGATGTCAAGGTCTTCAGCTGCGGCATCTTGGGCGCCTTGGCCCTTGGACCGTCCGCACTAGCCGCAGCACGCTTCGGCGCCATGTTGTTTTTCAAGGGGCTTCAGACAGGGATGCGGCAAAGGGAAGGAAGCAAAGCGGCTGAGGATGGTGGATCAATGGCTGAAGCTGAATGTAAGTCAAAGGGTCCATTCCGGAAAACAGCGGGGTCAAAGATTTCCCCTGAATGCAAGGCACTATTTCATGATCTTACATGAATAGCACCGGCTAAGCAAGAGTCATTGGGGATGATTTTACTGAACCGTTGCAGGCCCGCCTTTACTGCTTTGCAGGCTCCGCTTTCTCGGTGGTGACAAACATGCACCACGCCCTGCCAATGCCACACATCCAAATGCCATCCACACTTCTATAGAAATGCAAAGCGCATCAAAATGCCAACCTTAATAGATAATAGGATGTTTTATTCATCACATGGTTGGGTCTGGATCAAGAGTTTTGGTATCTCAACATGCTTTTCGGGCTTTGGATCCTAAAAATGACCAATCCATTTTGTTGTCCATGATGCCCGGCCAATTTTGACCCACGCCCACATATTTGAATTGTGCTATTTATGTTCAAATTCCATATCCGAATTTGTTGCTCAAAAAAACACAGACTTCACAGGAGCCCCTAGCCCCACACTTTGATGGTAAAAACCCGCACGGTCTCCCGCAGGGAACGTCCCTTAAATGAACGTGTCGAGAATCAGCAGCGTGCTTGAATTTTAATGGGGTTCCCAGCTCATGTTCGTGGATTCTGATATATATATATATTGACAATATCATAACATATAACATATACTATACATTATTATACTATATATGATAATCCTAAATGCACATATATACTGTATATATATATATACTTATATATATATCATATATCTATATCATATATGTATATGTAGTAACAGGTAGTGACACCTTACACGGCGCAACCACCTGGAACAATCCGACGCCCCATGGAGCCTGGGATCCTTTGCCGATTTGTTTGCCTGGAGGACCATGGCGGGCGTTTCGGCAGGTGATTCAAATCAGCACCAATCCTGGGCAACCTGCAAAAACAATTTGTTCATAGGGTGGATACATTGTACTTGGTAACATATTTATCCATCATATTCCTTGACAATTACATTAAAGAAACACATATGCTCATATATATATATATCTATATGATTCTATATGTATACATAAGTAACTTGTAACCTACCATTCAGGTCTTCTAGTTTACCCACAAATGGATACAAATGGCGAACAAATGAAGATGTCGAGATGTAGCTAAGTGCTATAGGGCTATATTGCCACAAAAGAAAGAGCCACAAAGAAAGGCTGCTGGAGGTTTCAGCTCGAGATTTGTTACTAATCATTTCCAAGGGCCGGCCACCAACGAACAGTCGGAAAGGCTGGACGACTTTTAAACACTTGATTTGCTTGGGTACTTTACACGACCTCTGAATTCCGTGGGCCAGGGCCGTCCTCCAGTTCTATTAAATAAATATACACTGCATAAGCCATGCCAGAAGAAAATATAGCCTGCCCCTTCTTCTCTTTCACCCTTATTGTGGAAACTTCAATTTTTACTTCCCAAATACTTCCAAAGAAAGGGGTACGACTCCATGTGACACCAGGTTCGGCCTAAGATGTAAGCCTTACCAAAGTCGCCCAAAGAACTTTCGTCCTAGAGGCTTGGTGATGGCTTGGTGATGGGTGAAAGGTGATAAATCCAACTTCATTCGCGAAAACCGTGAGACAGCGCTAGATGAATTATCTCACCGTTCCGGTGAACCTCCCAATGAATTCATGTGATATACCAACTTTACTTCGAGGTGATAGTTGGTCACCCCAGAATGGGCCTAGCTGAATTGGTGCTTCTATAGATCCAACAAAACTGGAGCGACCCGCACGAGATCAGACAGTCAGACTTCTGGAGAACCAAGTATAGAAATAAAAAAAGATGTATGTGATGCATATCATTACATATACGTATACATAATTATACATATATACGTATAAATACGTGTATATATATATGTATATATATATATATATGTATACATATACCTAGGCACACGATCGCACATGGACCATGCAAAAAAATGCAAACACTTGAAACCCACAGTTCCACCTCCCGACATCACCAACTTCTCCTGTAGTTGTTTTACCTCTGCAGATGATAAGTTACCTCGGAACTGGGTGACACTGCTCCGCCTCCACAAGTCACCTGTGAAGTACCATGTGATACCATCTGTTTCCTTGAGATGGAATGCAGTGTTGGAAAGTAGGATTTGGTGTAGTTTGGAATGTGGAGCAAGGTATGAAAATTGGCAATGCCCAGTTTTGACAGTGGGAAACTTTGATGCAAAGGGCAACCCAACGGACCCAACGACAAATTTCAATTTGTTTTGAACTCAGTTGATGGTACAGTATGAATCAGTATGATAGGAAGGGCAATGTTGAGCGATTTGCTAGCATTCGGGTACCAGTATGATTCATAGCCCAAAACCCACACTGAACCACACTAGCTCATACTTTTGGAGTTCTTCAAGTTGTTGAATGCTTTTGCACACTTTTGTGGCGTTCCGGTACAGCCCATACTCCCTTACTCCCACGCTCCCATACTCACATGGCAGGAATGCATAGGAATTTTGAGCAAGGCACCCATGGCAGCACACCAACTGAGGACAAGAACTACGGGGTGCAACTGATGACTATCTGAACTATGTGAATTTGCAATTTGCTGTTGCCCCCAGTGAGGTGAACCAAGTTGGGTTTAACTATGTTTTCAAGCATGAAACCGCTGTGAACAGATTTGAAAAGAAACATTAATCATTAATGATTCCTTTGGATCCACCCAAGAGCGCTATGCCATATATGCAGCTAAGTGTTGGAGAATTCCAATGAATTCCATGTTTTCATTATTTTCATTCTGCTGCGCACCTCTAACTCTAACTCCATGGGACCAAATGCAACTGGCCGTTAATGGTGCTACGGGGGAAAATGTGGACAACATGCCACTCGGGGCTCACAAAACAGATAAAACAGGAAGTGTTTTCACAACTGTGGATAACCAATGATAACCCCATCCCCCACATGGCCAAGCTTTGATACTGACCAGATCTAACCAGTTGTTTTCTGACAGAGGATGCATCGTACTCCTCCACTCATATCCAAAAGAGAAAAACAAAACCCATTCTACGAAACCAAATTTACCACAAGATCCACCGAACTACCTTGGTAAAAAAACGCTTGTAATGGAACAGGAACCTTGATTTTGGACAGAAAAGCAAGCAGATCAACATGGTTTGCACCCAATGGAACACACAATCATTTTTGTACCATGTGACCCGTGTGTTCAAGTTCATGAAGGCACCGTGATTATTGAACTATCAAATAATCAACACCTCGTTAAGATCCACTATATTGGGTGTGCCTGATTAGCATGTGTACACTCACACAAACTGGTGACAATATGTTAGTCTATGTGAAGGTCGTCATATTGGTCACGACAAATTGGCTTGACGAATGCTACTCACCAATGTGCTACTCGCAGGACTGACATGTGACATATCTTGACGAGCTTTGTTTGGCGCGAGCAACGCCTGTCGCTTCGCCGGACACATGTGGGCCAGCCTTCTAGACGCTATCAACAGGCTCTGCATCAACTCGCTTGGCGCAAAAACGTCCCTTCAAGTTGTGTTTTTGAAATTGAGAAACAACACACCCACTTGGAATGTTTTGGATGGGACGTGTTTTATTTAAACACTTTGGGGATATGCTTGAAGAAAACTATACATTTAATATTTCTAAAATTTTCTACAGAATTTGTTCTGCACATCGTCCATTAGAATAATGCTGTACCCTGCTGGATGGTTTGCAGAGCTTGAGGAGCCACTGGTTCAGCCAAGTTGAAGCTATTCTTGGATTTACTGACTGATCAGCCTCACTGAAAGCAAACAAAATTCATCAAAATTCCAGGTAGCCTACCCACATGGATACAAATGGTGTGATCTGTATATATCTGTATACCATTTGGGAAACACAGCAATGACCTTGAGCAAATCCAGATATTAGTCATGGGAACGCCTCCCATCCAAGCATTTCTTGGCTGGTGAAACTGTGGAAAGCGCAAGGAGTCTCTCCAGGGATGGGGTGCCAAGAAAAGGTATCTGCCACCGATACATGTTGCGTGTCCAAACAATTCTGGATTCAGAGAGCTAAAATCCCAAGACTTCCAAGGGCCGGGAATGTACTGCATAGCATGCAACAAGTGACAGCCAGTATCATTTATAATCATATATTATATATATGTAACGAGGTGAGAATGCGGTCCCCATCACCAAATGTGCTGATTTCATGGGAAGGTGACACAGCTGAACAATCCCTCCGTCAATGATGGAGAACTACTATTGAGGGGGTCATTATGTTGGCCACGGCTCAAGGTGGAGTATCTGGTATCGTCGTGAGTACTAAAAGGAATCTCTCGGAAAATCATCAGAATCATGGCCCTTCCAAGGTGCAAAGTTCTGCGTCCCTCCCACTACCGCTGGAAATTATCCGGTCTCAACAAAACACATCTCCACACATTATATCATGACATCATATTTGGATAAACCTCTCAACTTTCTTGGGTCAAAAAGGTTGGGAAATCCGTTTCTTTCACCCATCGAACCTGCTGCTCCCAGCTCCAGCCTCAGATTTGTACAAAAAACGACTCATTGCTTGAGTGGCACCGTCTCTCCTCTCACCTGCTTGCTCCAACCTGGGGGTCCACCGGATGCCACCGGCTGCAGGGTTGATGATGTGGTCATGGCGAGTGAGAAGGGCATGACCCTGCCCATATGTTCTCGTATTACGATGTATTACGTATATTGCATTGACATCTTTAATCTGATTCCCTTGCCAGTGTCCAGCAATTTTAATTTGGCGCACATTCTCCTCTAGTAAAACACAACATATATTCTCATAATATTACCGTATATTCAGTTTTATCCCAAATACTATTCATTATTCAAACATCCTCCCATCATTCCCTTCTCATCCCTTCTCCCTATCCCTATCCTTTTTTCGGGCTGCCATCTGGATGCCACGCCAATCTTGGCAAATTCTGCCCCTTTCCGCCCACCACCAGCTGTGGCAGGCTGCGCATCCGCCTCAGGGCACCCGCCTCAGCGGTGTCCAGGACGGGGAGGCTCCGTTGGCCCGTCATTGGCCTCAGGGCACCGCCGCCGACACCGTGGGCTCCGTGATGGCGGCCGGGCATGGAAGGTGTGCCCGGAGTACGGCGGCGCTCAGGACTGGGTCGCTTAGCGAGGTCCTGATGCTCCTGGGAGTGAAGAATGGAGAACGGATGGAGAACGGATGGATGGCCATTTCTGGTTTCTGTTCTTATGCTGGGACCGAACCACATGAACCACATCTCGCTTGGGATCTCTATGCTGCACGATCCATAGGCTGCTTCATTGATGGTTTACATTTATTAATAATCAGTAGAAAGGGCAAAGTCATTTGAGGTTGCCATAAATGATCCACATGCAAACATAGTGAAGAAGATCGATGTGCACATATGATGTGCATGGGGCCCACAGGATCAAGGAGCAGTGAGAGGATCAAAACATTATTTGATCCCACCAATGGGTATTTTCAAACCTTGGGACACCAATCATGCCTCAAAGTCCACCCGTGGTGCAGCATTAGGTCAAGCATATCAAGTCCAGCAGGGTCAACACAAGACATCTTCTTTGCATAACCGACATCACAAACAAACACAGTGATGAATGGCCCAAGGAAAGGGTGCTGTCAGAAAATGAAAGACGCGCATATCTTTTTGGGTCAAAATTGAATTCCCCAAAATGGAAGGTATGTTCAGCAAGGATTCAAACACGCTGAAGACATGAGGGGACAACACATTCGCGAATAATTCTATTGCATGTTTTACGGCTGTGGCAATGCGCAAAACACCAGACAAGCGTTGAACAATTTTGGACCATACCCAGATCTACCCATCAATCCGGCTACAGGCGCCAAGGGGCCACACGAAAGCGTCCCGCAGGATAGATTCCGCCCCCTTTGGGGCCCATGGCCCATTCCTCAAAAGGCGAGAACATTTACAGGACACCATTGGTTTTTATCAAATATCTGGGATTTGTGCGAAACAACTTCTGGGAGAAACCCGGTTGATGTAAGTCCGAACAAGTAGCAACATGAGCAAGCAGAGTCACGATTTTTTAGCAGCACCGGTGGTAAAGGTTTCAAGTATGATAATTAGTTGATCGTTTTTGGCCAACCATAGGATGGTGTATTGTCTAAAGGGAAACGCTCTTCAGCCTTGATGCAAAGAAGTAAACCCGAGTCATCTGCTTGCATGGGGAAATGGTGATGGACAATTCATGTTGTGAAACAAATTTAAAGATATCTTCATGAAAATGACCAAACACATAGACATACACTGTAAGTGCAATGATCCTCCAAAGACAGAAGATCATTTCAATAATTATCAAAACAACGACTGTTCTGCCTTTTCCACAAGTGAGGCATCTAGATTCTTCATCCCATTTGCATGCACATCCGATTGCTCAACTGTGTCAATCAAAGGACAACAACATACAGTCAATCACCAATGTCTTTCCTTTTTTTTACGGATGGACACGGAAAATCACATTCTTGAAACACTACAAACCCCGAGTTTCACTGGTGATCTTTCCAATTTTGTTCATAATTTCCCGACTTGTTGACCTTTGAAGGTTTCCTTAAACAATGATAGTTCCAGTGGAATCTCTCCAAGTAGATCAACACAGGTTTTGCTACCCAGGATTGACACATTCTGAAGGCAACTCAGAATGACCAGGACGTTCTTTTACTTCGTGGAAACATCCCCGGTCCAGTCAGCATAGCCCTACCAACAATCAAAGAACAGCAGTCAACTGAACCATGCAATCCCCTGAAAGTAATTTTGAATAATTTTGATCTTTTTACATGGTGATAAGAATTGTTAGGATAACAATCAGCAGATGATAGAGGCTTTAGGCAGTGGTATTGTGGTAAACCAAAACCACCTTTGAGGTGTTCTTAATGGTTAATAACAAGTGTATGCATGACAAAACTGGGCAAATTGAGTAAGGCTTTCTATTGCGTTTCCCAGTTCACACCGTATAATTCATCACATCATTGTCATCAATATCCATGAGTGCTCCCACGTAATTTAGACGGATTATGCCAGATGAAAGCCATCTGTAATCCATCAATATCCATGACTATTCAGCTTAACCAACAATGGTTTTCCTTTTGGCATGCATCTATCAATCTATATCAATCTCCATCTTTCCCAAGTTGCTGCTCATCATAATATCCATCGATATCCTTCCTCCAAATAAGCTTTCAAATTAAAATATATTGAAATCAAACTTGAGCTGCAAAACCGCCAAGGCATGCCGTTTTTTTTCTCCATCTATTAATATATTCCTTCCCATTTCTCATCATTTCTCCAAATTTTGTCTCCAAGTTGCTCCACCTTCCACCAGCACTGGGCTGCTCGGGCTGCACCCTGATCCGCTCACAGGCCGCGCCGGTGACGCCGGTGACGCGGCCCGTGCGGCGGCGGGCACCTCGCTGGGCTCCAGGGCGCCCAGCTCGCGCAGGGCACGTTGACCTTGGCTGGATGTACATCTTACAAGTTATCTATACCTACATATACATATATATATATAATATATGTATATAATTATATATATATTATATATACGTACATCTATAATAAGTACATGCTATGGTTATACGATTTATTCATGGTGATGTGGTATCATTCTTATTTAATATGGTATCATCTGACAATATAATACAATATATATATATATATTTATTTATTTACTATCATTGTCATTAATCATATTTTTCAAATGATAACAAACCAATTATTATGGGTATGTCTGTAGAAAATATGGATTGATATGGGATACTTTGTGGACATGTTCTGTCAATTTTATCTACAGCTAGATTCAAGGACATATTTTCACGTGCTATGTCCGTTTTGTTCATTCATCAAAAATTGCATTGAGATCTTGTGGTTAGAGATGTGACAAGGCACATGAATCCATGAGTCCTTTCAATATTCAAACATCCATTGTTACATTCAGTGATAGATCGATGTTTTGCACTTTAAAGTGGGAAGAAACAATCCAATATCTAGTCTATGGCAGCCCCAAAGTAGGTCAAGGAAATGCTTAGAAACATGGCCTGAGATGTATGACTCACTATAGTACACCATGCTACATTGCATCGTGGGACTTGCATTTGACTAGGTGATGATTGACGCGAGAGGTTGGGCAAACATAAAATCCAAGTTATCCCAAAGTGGAATTAGGTGGCCCTATCTACGGTACGCCCTAGTGTTCTGTGTCTCAAAGGCCGCCGGGTGATCCCAAGCTGTCACTGCCAAGAGACAGGAGGAGTTGGCTAATTGCATTGGAAGGGTCTGCTGACAGTCGATCTTATTGACATCAGCTCCTAGGACGGCTGATGGCAGTAGTGGATTCCCCTAGAAGGCTTGAACTTCTCGCAAGAACAATGAGACATCAAACGGAACATATGAAAAGCCTTCAAAAATGGGCCGTGAATTCTGCGTTATGAACGATCTGTAGTACTGTAAACGAAATCCTTTCTCTCAGTGTTGAACGTTTTCTTGGTGGTCTAGGTGTAAGTGACAAGTCTGCAATATTATTTGGACCATGGTCAAATGTACAATTTTTGTGGCTTTTAGCATCAAACCATGCCATTCCTCAAAATATTTTGAGCCATATCAGTCATGGACATGTCCATGTATATCTGTATTCTATTATCATTGGTATTGCATATTCGTATGCACTTGTAATCTATCATACTGCATGCCAACAAATCACTCAAGTGTGGAAGGTAGTCTCGCTTTCTCTCTCTCTCTCTCTTCTCTCTCTCTTCTCTCTGTATATAATCTGTACACATACATAAAATATATATATATATACATACATACATACATACACGCATATCATGTAGGTATAATGTATATCATACACTCAACACATAGATGGCGTGTGATGGCAATCGGAATTTCCACTCTCCAAGCATCGAAACTCCGCCAGCAGCCGCACGGAACGCACAGAGCCAGTAGCTGCCGCCACATGCATGGCCGTTCGACCATACCTGTGGCGCTCGCATGCGTTTTTATTCTGGGATGACAGCATTGGATGCGCATCAACATTCCCAGGTATCAAGAAGTGGTGAAATCGGATCATACAAAAACAAAAACAATAGGAAAATAATCAATAATAATAATCCTGTAGATATTAAATTATATCATGGATACTAATGGATATTGTAGCCGATGATTGCTGTTTCTTATTGGAAGCGGAAAGGAGGGTGTAAGTGTCAGAATGACATTGTGACTGAGATTCCATCACAAATTGAACAACAAGGACATCAGAATGGACCAACGAAACTAACGACACTCAATAACCCAATGTGTCTGCTGATCCTACAGTAGAATTGTTCAACTTCCTGGAGGACGACTACTATCGGGCACTTCATGGCACTCACCTGATGATGATGCTTCGCCGGATCACTCCAAAGATATTTCTCCACGTGCGATGCGAACTGGTGTGTAGTCAAATATCACATCATCGAATAACCATCACAAAGGAATTAGTTTTCTCAAACAACGAGCCTGTCTATTTATGAACGCGGCACACCTTGAGTCAAAGCTGGGTTCGCCAAAAGTGGGATGATTTCCACTTAAAATGGCCAGTCCATCTGTGCCTCCCTGGGTCTTAAGCAGTTTGGCCCATTGCCATTTTTGTTGATCAAAATGTTAATTTGCTCATTTTGCTGGATCCCCTTCACTGTTGGTCAGTATCCAAAACCCTTTTTCGGGTGACGCAAATCAAACAACATGAACAGAAATACCCGGCTGTCAGCAGGTTGCATGTTGGAGGCATCTGGGTCGCAGCGCTGTTCCAACAGAAGCCGGGCGATTCGGGGATCTCCGTTCCTTGGCCCGGTGCCCCAGTGGTGGACTGGAGCTTTTTCAATATACAGGTTTCTCAAGATAGAAACAATTAATAACAATATTATACAATTATGTTTTAAGAGTGGTACCGGCCAAGAATCCAGCACTACAGGGACCTCTCTTATGTGTAAATACACTATGTTTCACCATTTCTGTACATTACATGGTAGATGCCCCATATGTTCGCGTACGAAGCGATATTTAGTCTTGTGCCATCCCAGGCTGTTTGTGCGCATCCAAGGTAAGACTTTTGATCTTTCGAGACCAGGGCTCTGGACGGCAATGTGCAAGGGGCAGTTTTTCTCATCGTCCCTGGACCTAAGAGCACTTGGGTGGGTCCAACCATGGATCCAATGCATCCAATTTTTCCTAACTTATTTTCTCGACCCTCAAACTCAGACCACATGGTGATGGCTTGCCCATGTTTGCCCAGGCCTAAATATGCTTTCGAAAGAGCCAAACTTGTGGAGAAAATGCAGTACTACTTGGTATTGAGTTTGTCTTGTTTTCAGACAAACAACTGGGAGCTAAAACCAGGCTACAAAAACAGCTTGGGTTGGGGGTGGTTTCAGGACCGAGATTGACAACCTTGAGATCATAAGATTCCCCGGATGCTTCAATCTTCATCCAAGCGCAGTGCAGGTCAAAATCACTGATCTGACATACAGTATTGCAATATATAAATATGTAATCGTCATTAATCGTCTATAATACTATATAATCACAATCCTGGTGTGAAGGCTCAGTTGCCAATCTGAATTACCGCCTTTAATTTATGGCTCATCACCGTATGTCCTCAATCAATGTGATTGTGGTTAATTGAGTACTAGAGACCAGTCTTTGCTTTTTTTGTTGTAAGATGTTTTCCAAGGGTTATGCACACGAAACAAAAAAACAATGCCTCTGCGATGCTTTGTAGCCAGGGATCTCCAACTGAGCACGTCCTGCCACCAGCAGCTGTACCAGTTCACACAGAACCTGCCGCTGGACGGCACGCAGAAGCACTGAACCTCCCAGGGCAGGGCTGAGAAGATGCAGATTTGATGATTTGGATCATTTCTTTCTGCAGAATTGGTTTAACTCACACGTTCAGGACACCCCATTATTTTGCGGTGGCACTTATGGTTTTCTGCAGTTTTGTGTTTTTTTTGAACAAGCCTTGATTTATTCCGGCAATTCCTGGTATATTTCAATAGCATTTTCTTGTCGCCAGCTCCATCCTGACCTAAACAAATTTGGATCCACCCTTTCTTGGCGCTGATCTCGGGCCTCCTTCCGCCACTGCTCCATCATCGCTGGTGAAGTCCACGTTAGCGCCGAAGTCCAGTAGCAGCTGCATTGCCTGCATGTTGCCTGCACTCGGAGGGCCCGACAGCCTAACTGGGGAAGTCAACCAAAAACGGAGCAATATGTATAGAAATGTATAGAAATGTGAGGTTTCAACTAGTTTCAACCAAATAGAAATATTATGAAATATTGGGCTTCAGGAAGACTAAGCAACAAAAATAGGCTACAGTTGGTTTTGACCTATCTTCATGTTATGTGTTTACCATTGTTTACCATAGATAGCAGGAAACTCTGCGCCAGACCGGCATCCCTGGTGGCGAAGCCTGCATTCACAGCCAACATCAGCGGAGTTTCACCAATGGAGTTCACAATGTTGGGAGAAGCTTTGGCCTCTAAGATAACCTCAGCGAGGAACGGGGACAGTGATACATAGAATGGGATAAAATGGCCACCATTTTGAGCCACCGAACCTGCAAAATTGCTCCTGTTGAATGTCTAAATCATATCCAATGTTCGGTGGTCGATGATTTTGAGCAATCATTATGTGGGATCATTTGATTATCATATCGGTGTACACAACACCATACTTTACCCATGATCACCCATGAACATTGGCCGATGGGGGGGAACAACATGGAACAACCATAACAATGGTGTGGTGAGCCACCATTTCACCGCCAAAAGGTGATTCAGTGATCCTATTGTCGTTCAGCCATTCTTTTCTGAAGAGATCCCTGCGCCGGTGGCCCAGCGACGCGTATCATCAAATTCTGCCAGTTCAATACCGCCATGTGCAGCGTGGTGTTCCCCGAGCCGGCCTCCTGTAGCCGGCGCAAAAACCCGAAGGAATGTGCGATGCTGATGACACCACTCCCAGTGCTTCAACGTGCTCCATGGATCATGCTAGAAATATCTAGAAATCATAAAATCAAACTGCACACCAATGGAAACTTCACGAAATCCTTGAATGTGGGGACGCAGCAGGGCACCACACATCATAATCATCATATTGATCACTGCCAGTACTAAATTTTCCAAGTTGAATGAAACAGCAAGTCACAATGAACATGATCCACCTAAGAACATTACAGGTTCGTAGCCAACAATCTCAATCATTGATATCAATCGAATACCTTTCTATTATAAATACAATCGCATTTGATCATGTGTTTATTTCTATATAATTTTCAAAGTCTGAAGTCCCACCATAGTGTCAGTTCCTCATGCAAACATCCATCCATTCATCCAACCACCCACCAACGCATCGCATCCATCCGTCCATACAGTAACTCGCACAATTGTAAAACACTGGAAAACATGAAAGTGACAAGGTTAACATAATCTAGAAATCTAAATATGCAGAACATCCTGAAAAAGATCAAAAAAGCAACACTTTAGGATCTCATAGGCAACGACTTCAGTAAACATCAACGTTTCTGAGATCTCCAGCGGCTTGCCTGGCAATCGAGCTCGGCACCATGGTTGATCAGCATCCTGCAGGGCGCCCCTGGACCCCTCCTCCTTTGCGACGACTTTGGGATTAAACCTCGTTCAATGAATTTCAATCACCATTTCATGGGCTAAGAATGGGATTGATGAGGTCTGAAGAGGCGGCTCACAACATTAACAGGCCTTTCTGGTCTGCTATCCCCTTCAATTTTGAACTACTACCTCACCTTTTCGTGATTACAGAGGGCAAAGTCCCAATGGAAATCAATGGAATATCTTTTCGGGGTCTGACAGGAAGCAAATGCAGTTTTGGAAACAAATGCAAATATATTTTCGTGATTTTCTCTGGGTCTTTACCACCCCTTTTCCCACAAAGCATATTGTACGGCCAATCCACAACACTCAGCCAAGAGGCAGTCATCGATGTCCCCGAGATAATCCTCAACTAATCCGGCCCTGGTGCCTGCAAAGGCCCACAACACCTTGCAGTGCCGACAGGTGCAAGGCGCTGCGACCGTAACGATCTCGATGGCCTTAGGGGCAGAAGAAAAGTGCCTTCTTAAAATAAAATCAACATGTTTATATCTCCCATCCAGATTGCTCATGAATGTATATTATCCTTCATCCACCATGCCATCTGGACAATGCTGCTATTTGATGCACGGCAGAGATAAATACGTTAAAGCCAATCATCAAGTTGCTGGGCGGCCATGTAATAAACTATTTATCTATTTGCAGCCGCTCACAAACGGCAAATCTGCCTCCTCACAGGGGGCATCTGACAAGTCCCGGCATCCCACATCTTCGCCACGGCACGGTTCACATCCACCTTGGCCATCAACAAACCCTGCGCCCGGGACATATCTCTGGCCTCGCTGACACTGCTGTGCCGTGGCTGGTGGTATTTGGCCATCCAGGACAAAAGGAATATGAGTTGCTTGGGGATCATCATCCCAATCTCTGGGAACTAGTTCAAGGAAAAGATTACAGGACAGAACGGTATTGGAATGGTAAGAAACATCCAAATGGTTCGATGGAACAGTTCCCTTAACTTATCAATCCATATTGGCAAATGGGTATGGCAACATGCCTGACAAAAAATACAAAGTATACATGAAAGTTGAAGCCACTAAGCGATGATCTTTTCACTTAAGCAATTTGGTCTTGGAGTCAATTTCTCACGGCGGGGTGCTTGAAAGAAGAGGCGCCAGCAACTTACCAACCCCAATCAGAGTCACTCTGGGCATCCCTAGGCTGTACCACACTCGAACAAGAACTTGCGATTTTTGGAGCGGCCGAGGCAGCTCGAATAGTATTGACATGTATTGACAGAAGCACAAAGAAGCATGCACTTGGATGTTCCATGACGCAAGGAAAGTGTTTTTTAGCTGGATGATACCAGTTGTCAAGGGTGTCTCAACCAGGAATACCCCGATGATTGGTTGGCATCCTGAAAAAATGGCGCCATGGACATGGTGGGTCACCAGGAATCTCTCATTCACCAGTTCTATCCCAAGTCGTGTTGCTACGTGTTGCAGCTTACAGTACGTATCATTGATCAAAATTTGTATCGGTAAACTTTACCAGTCAGCAAGTCAAAAAATGTCAAAATCCCCTAAAATTCCCTAAAATCCATCCAAACATCAGGAGTCTTTCAAATCTTTCGGCGCCGTTGCCAAGCTGCATCAATGGCGTCCAGGAGCTGATACCCCGCATCGCCCAGGTCGCTCAGGTCGCCCTGGCGCTCCCAGGCTGGGCGTAGCCCCGTGCCGGGCATGGCGCACGCGCCAGCGTGCGTGGCTCCCGGGCGACCGGGGAGCAGCTGGAGCCGATGAAGCGACAAAAAGAGAACAAAATGAAAGGCTAGCAGTAATAAGGGCCAAAAGGGCCCTATTACAATGATAGATATGATAGTGGTTACTGTATGTTACTGTTGCAGTGTGTGTGGATTCTCAAAGCACTTAAACATCCGTCTCCCTCTCTCTCTCTACAAAAATGAGGTCGACGCCGTTTCCGCTCGGATCCTGGCAACTTTGATCAAGCCCAGGAGATCCCAAACAATTTCCCATACCACGTATCTTTTTGATGAGATTTACATAGATTTACTACATCTTACTCCACAATGTTCATATACTTGGTGATGAAGGATTATATAGAGTGTAAGCACACATACCTCATACCAATCAAACAAAAATCGGGGTTTGAATGTGTGGCCTGGAAGCTTGCATTTGTAGTCGTACACTTTATCATTCAAAATGTGCAATCATTCTAACAAAAAGCTCTTCCTCCTCTAGGAGAACCAGTTGACAGTGTACTCCTTCCTGTAGGCATTTGGAAACTTGTCTAATGCTGTAAACTTTAATTTCAATCGAATCTTTGAAGTTGGAAAGGCCCCCAAGTGGCAAAATTAGCTGTTTGGAGTTGGCTTGCCACAGTGGATCTTAGAGGACCAACAAAACGACAACTTTCAGTAGGTTCGGCCGTTCGGCATCCATTCTTGTGCGCCACCTGGCCCATCGGCCCATCGGCCCATCGCACAAATGGCCAGAGTGACCAGTGCAGCGAGGAGTTCCAAGACCTCTTCTCCTTGGGCCATGAGGTGATCATGATATTAAAATGCAGGCAGTACCCGCTAAACAGGAAAAAAGATGAATGAATCAACTGATGATTCAACATCATGATATCAACATGATGATCATATTCATGGGGGTATGAATGACTGAGACTCATATTTTCCATTTTGGACCCCATGAGCCGTTCAAAAATACCCCGATTGCAACGATTGACAGAAAGATCAAGGGATTTTTGAGGTTTTGCTTTGACTGGTTTCCCAGTGCAGCCCTTTGAATAGCGAATTACACAAATCCTGGGAGCCAATTTCACCCCTATCCAAAAAAGTAACTCTTCATGGAGAGTTCAGCTGATATGGAGAAAACCCAAACTAGTCTTTTAAATTTTTAAGCAGGATTTTTACAATATCTAGGGATCACTTTCCAAAGGTAATGTTTGCTCTTTTCTACTAAGTTGCAGTAGTAGAAACAAACTGAAAAACTTTTTCCGAGAAGGATGTTTGCAATTCTTCCGGATTACCTGCAATTTTTTTTGGTTAAATACAATTTCCATTCAAAACTCAGTGGTTTGTAAATTTGGTAAGGATCTTTGCAAACCATTGGAGACACGAACGTGCCCCCCTAATGGTACATCACCCGTCCTTTAGTGGGGAAGCGGGAAGGGTCTTTACAGGGACAAAGGGCTACCAGGATTGCGTGGGGTGAACCAGTGAACCAATCGAGTTGCATTCCAATTCCTAACCTTTGGCTCTGGGTCAATTTGAAAACTCAGTGAAACGCTCACAGACACAGTAATAGCAATGTTTATCAACTCTATTTTGGCACGGAGAATGAAAGCAAGGACTTGCAGCCAAACGAACGCCTGAATCACTAAAGTTGATCTGTTTGAATGGACAAAACATAGTATACATAGTTAATCGTCAAGCCAATTGATGACAAGGAGGCCAGTGAGAGAACAGCATGTTTTGACGTTACACTTTGCTGGTTTCCACCTTTGATGTTCCAATCCCCATGTTCGGTGCCTCGCTATTCACATTTGGCTGGTTATCTACATTAATTATTCATGCTGCTTAAAAGCCCGGTGTCCATCTCATCTCTATGTCTCATGCATACCATGCGTGTGTGTTGCTTATTCGTCAATGAATGTTATTGAGCTATCATAGTGGTTGTTGGTTACAAAGTCCCTGCTTCAACTTCCCATCTTCGCTGCTTCTTACATCTTCTAATGGTGGCTGCTGATTCAACCCCCCAAGCATCATCTACCCAGCCGTTCCATGGCAATGATGCTCCAGCTCCAAGTTGGGACTCCCAACTCCATCGTTCTTTCGTGCTCTCGTCGAAGAACGAGATGCTCAGATCTGGCCATCGAAGCCCCGCAGTTGGTGCAGTAGTCACTAGTCATTGTTTCAGGGTTGAGGTGCTGTTTTTTGGATTTCCATAGCTGATCCAGGTCTCTAGACTGTTTAGCTGGATTTCAAGTCATCTTTCGAGAGGAAACGAACGAGTCAATGGCCAATGTGAACTGATTGGTGATATTCACCCATACAAAAAAATACTTGTCAATTGGAACAATCATGCCAAATGATGAGTAGAAACAGGAATAATTACTTTACTTCGTGTGATCCCCACCATGACATTTATACATTTTCTTACTGGCAAATCTTCTGGCATTCTATCTGACATATCTTCTGACATTCTATTTGGCATTCTATCTGGTATATCTTCTGGCATATGATCTGGCATATCTTCTGGCATATCTTCTGACATATCTTCTGGTATATCTATCTGGCATATCTTCTAGCATATTTTCTGGCATTCTATCTGGCAAATCTTCTGGCATTCTATCTGGCATATCTTCTGGCATATGTTCTGGCATATCTTCTGGCATTCTATCTGGCATATCTTCTGGCATATATTCTGACGTATCTTCTGGCATTCTATCTGGCATTCTATCTGGCATTCTATTTGGCATTCTATCTGGCATATCTTCTGGCATATCTTCTCTTTGTCCCATATCTTCCTACATGAGGTCCGGCAGGGAACACTTGGCATGGATACTCGCAGATGAGGTCCGGCAGGGAACACTGGGCGTGGCTGGTCGTGGTTGAGGTCCGGCAGGGAACACTGGGCGTGGCTGGTCGTGGTTGAGGTCCGGCAGGGAACACTGGGCGTGGATGGTCGTGGTTGAGGTCCGGCAGAGAACACTGTGGATCGCGGGTCGCAGGACGACGAGGACGACGAGGACGACGAGGACGACGAGGACGACGAGGACGACAAGGACGACAAGGATGACAAGGAGGACGAGGAGGACGAGGAGGAGAGGAGGAGGAGGAGAGGAGGACGAGGCAGGAGGAGGAGGCAACTGACATAAAATCTAACAACCCTCACCTGGCAGGTGGGGAAAAAGGATATATATATATATAGAGCATTATTACTGCAAATCATATGTCAACAAAACTGCTACAAATTACCGATCTTGTGTGTGACTGAAGCTGCTGGCATCAAATTGCCATACCAACTCATGCGAGTGTGATTTCCACCTGGCACCCTTCTGTTCGGCAAGACTAGTGCCAGAAAAACAAATATGGAATGTACATTTATTCAATTTACTGGGTGTTTGCATGGCTCATCTGAGATACCCTGCAAACATCTTTGCTTTCAGCTGGTTAGTAATATATATATATATATGCTCTTCTACATACATCATCCCTATTCATCAATTTCGCCTAAAAACAACATCAACTAACCGACGGATACCTACGGTACATGACCTGAACCAAGGTTTTCACAGTTCCATAGAGGCCCGGAGCAGGGGCCCAGCCTTCGTGCTCCTGGAAGGACATCTCCATGCGGGGCCATGCGTCCTGGTGCAATGCCGAAGTGAGCATCCCAAGATGAAGGGAACGAATAGATACGATCCATTTTAGGGGATTCAACATGAGTCCAAATTTTGAGACACCCAAACTCTTGATTTACTAAGTTTATATGAATAATTAGCTGACACACCAGGATCTAAGTTGTAGAGTCAGATACTAAAATATTAAAAATAACCAGATATTATATATATGTACATATATAGAGTTACAGTAAACACCAAACTGTTGGACCTACCAAACCCAGGCTTACCATATTGCGAAGTCTATTTGTGGATCTACGCCTACACCCAAGCTTGGGCAGTTGCATTTTAGCCGATCTTCTGGCAGTTTGGTTGGCACCAATTGATCCAGCCCTGCGGCGCCAAAGTCCGGAAAGAAGGAGACCTTCTCCAAAGCTTGGAAGGGCCGTGCCTGGCTCCGCCCCCTGTGGATCATACCCTTTTGGGGAAAACACATCCTACAGATTCCTACAGGCTCCTACAGGAATCTACAGGATTTCAAAAAAAACAACATGACAATATCAAAATTTTAAAGGAACATGACGCGGATTGAGCCAACAACATTGGGAATAGCAACTAGTAATGGATATCCTTTTGAAAAACCATTTTGGGTTTGTTTGATGTACCATTGGCCATCGCTCACCCATTGCTTGTCGAACAAATGACTGCCAATTCCCTTTCTGTTGGTCAACCAACCAATGGTTTGTGGTAGAGGACATCCGTGCGATCGATGGGTTCCAACTAGTTTGCCCAAAAAGTCGAGTTCCTGAAAGCTTGCGGACAGCTGGCCTATAAAGCTGGATATATCCTCTAAACATTCGTATTAATATTCCTAATTTCAAACCTAATCGTCTGACTGTCAATTTGATGCTTTCCCCAATACGAATGCCGTGATTTTGTACAGCAATGATGTCATGGGGCATTTGGTCGGCCACGAGGCTGCTATGATTCATGATCCAGATCCATTTCACTTCCTGAAAAAGAATGGACTATTCAGCTGCGCTTTACGAACTCAGTAGCATGCGGAGACAGTCATATTTCAGATTTGGAATGTCTTCTCTGCAGCGTGTCATTTGTGGGTCTTGGTTGGCCAGTGAAACAACATAAAAAAAACCATACTTTGCCCAGTGCCTATCAGACCTATCACCCACCCATTGGTCAACCTCCGCGATCTTGCTCAGCAAGGGCTGCTGTGCCTCAGAGATGGCATGCGGCGATGAATCAACACCGTTGTAGCCGCTTGTAGCCTGGAGCTTCATCCCTCATCATCCCATCAAATACTAATCGTAGGTTTTCAATGGTTTTGGTCTATCCACGAAAACCATGGCTCAAAATCATTGACCAAAAAATTGGATTTTTGGTTTCATTGATGTTCATTGACATACCCTTTTTCAGCTGTACCCGTTATGTGGCAGGCTAGTAGCCCAACACTTCAATAAAAATTGGGATGGAATAGGATATCACCCACTGAAATATCAAACCTCTCTGCAGTTTAAGCCATAGTACATTTGCCGGGATGTAAGCAACCAGCGGTGAGAAGGAGATCATCGAAATTAATAAATCCTTTTTGCGGCAACCTAAACATGGGGTGCCAAATGGATCCAAATGGATCCACAACACTCCTGGAAGATTCAAGATGATCCCTGGGCACATTGTTTTTTTGAGTCGCTGCTAGCGACTCAACCTTTCACGTCGAGCCGCGGAATCAGCCAACTCCGGGTTTTCTCGCACCGTGGCGTCTCCTTGGGCTGTGGAAAGTCAGGTCATAGCGCAGCAGGTTTGTAGCTGGGTTTCAACTTACAACCAATCTGTTCCTGTCTGTAGAGGTACTGTAAGGTTATTGAATAATACTAATGTATATATATATATATTGATAATTTGACCTCATTGCAATTTCCAGGATCATCCCAGGAGTCCATTTGATATGGGAATGGCATGGCCCAACCAACTCTTTTGATAAGTTCAAGCATACACAGCAACTGATCCGCACAGCCCCATCCAAACCTATCACATATCACCATGTTCAATTCTCCGCAAGGATCCGCTGTCATTGCATTCAGGAGGCTATAGTCCAAGTGACTAGTCACAATATACGTATGTCATAATTCTCGTTCTTGCAACCAAAACAAGCATATGCATGTATATGCAATGTTTAAATGTTCATGTTTCTTGGTGATGATTCCCACTTGTATCAGCGAACAGGTGTGAAGTACCAAATAAACTAAAAGTATCTAAAAGTCATCAAAGTGATTTATCCCTGAAAGTCTGTGGCTTCGGGGGGCCCAGAAGTTTCACCATCAGCCGTCATTCTGGGGTCCACCTGCAACCCCAAACCTTGAATCTTTAGCTTCTATGAACTTCGAGTATTCACTACCACCTTGCCAAACATCGATCCACACTCACTTACCTCCATAAAGTTCCCAAAAGACGTACTACTACAATGTATATTATATTATATAATATATTATAATATTATATAATTACCAACCGTATAGCAAGCCAAAGGTCGTATACTACACTTCAGTTGACATTACCCCCACGTTTCAGTAGGCTACAGCCTCATCAGACCATCGCACCATTGGTACGCTGCCACAGCGTCGGATGGCTTTGATCTCTGGGCTGATCTTGAAGCGGGTGCTATCCTGGTAGCCACTGGAACTGGATTGACATAATTTGGCTGACACGAATGGTAAGATGATGGAAGCAGCAGAACTAACTCGACAACTCAAGATGTTGAAGACCCAAAAAATGGGTGCTTTATCGACAAGAGCAATTGGAAGATAGGAAACAGTCAATATGCTAATGGATCTCAAAACCATTCACATGTTTTGGCGGACCCACTGACTTGACCCATAGCCACATGACATGACAACCTTCTGGCGAGCAAAGAGCAATAGGGTAAGTTGGTTGAAGGAACTGCAATCAAAAGGGCACAATCAAAACAACATCACTAGCTTGTCGGAGGCAACGGCTTAGCTGGCTTCTGTCAAGAATCCAGACTCACTTGATATTCACTTGATATTCACTTGATACTCACCTGATACTCACTTGACTTGTTCGGCTCATAGCTTGCAAGAGCTTCTGCCTCAAGCCACTTTATAGCCTGAGAGTCTATGAACTATCTTGACTGTTGCCTATTGCTCCTATCAGGATATGGCCACAAATGAAAACCATCGACATACATCAGACAGAATGACTCACCGATTCAAACCTGACAGATACAGTCGCCACTAGTCTACCCAAATAGACCTGAAATCCAAAATATGATTGATTGTTTATATTGTTTAATAGTATTTAATAGGTTATTTCACCCAAATATGTTGTTTGGGAAGTGGATATGGGCCAGGGTCAAGTTTTGCGTACCTAATCCACCCAATCGCTCATGTTTGGTCTGCAACAATGAGCCGTTTTCATCCGGTTTTCTGCATCTTTCTTGGGGGTTTGTTCTCTTTACCCCATACCCATCTGGTATAACTCAACATGAATCAACGCTTCAACATGCTTCAACACAACTACTGGATATAAACATAACTAAACTCCATCGGTATGACTGGCATTCCGCGCGCCTCCAGCTCCTCGCTACTCTTTGGCCGCCTCAAGTATTGATTTGCAGCCTCTGGGATTTTCAAACATGGCTCATAGCAATGGAAAATCCACCATTTACAGATAACTTTCCCATTGAAATGTCCATGTTTAATGGATTTCCCAGCTAGCCATGCTTGATTACCGGAGGGTATGAATTGGACAGATCTGCAAAGATAATTATTGGCTGCTAAATTACATAATGTCACAAGATATACCAATGTCTTGCCAACATCGTGACCCTCATCATCACACGACCATTTGGGGGATCATCTCTAACATCTCTAACCACAATTTTTTGATGTGTTTTTGAATCCCAACGGGAGATTTGCCAACTGAGTCAAGCACTGGGTTCATCACTGCGTTCAATAGATACGTGTGTTTTGGAGCCGGTAAAAAATGTACATGATAAATATATAATCCAAAGTTGGACCCAGACCTGTTTGGCTATGGCCAAAGCAAACATATTAAAACCAAGCATCCAAACACTGGGAAGGGGTCATCTACAAATGGACTAATAGACCATTCATGACCATTCCATTATTGGGCAATTATTGGTCCAATCAGCCATAAGCCACAACCGTAGCAATTGCTGAGGATTGCAAATGACTGCCATGGTCAGGTTGAAAGCCGTTGAAGCTTGTGTATATCCAGCAGTGGAGCCATTTGTGGCAGACCAAGAATGAGCCAATTGTCCAAGCCCTGGTGCTATTCACCCCCCAAACACAGCACTTGCCGGGGTACGTGCTCATAAACGAAGCAGCATGAATGGAAGTGATTGAACATTCCAAACATGACTAAGCTTGGACACCCTGCAACAGAAATCGCCTTTAGAAGGGTGTTCATTGGATTCCTCCAGAAAAATGCTGAACATCATATAATATCAAATAATCTAATATAAAATCAAACCAGTCACCAACCATGCACCAATAGGTTGCAGGTGAAAACCGTGCTGAGAAAAACCGCTCCAGGCATCCCAACCACTGCGTGAAATCCACCACAAAGTCGTGGATCGCTGCCTTACAGTGGCAGCTGTGTTGGCATTTTGACGCGAGCCTTGCCGCCTCTCCAACTGTCCTCTTTCTACAGATAGTCTGCAGCATGAATACCTTCCTACAAATAAAGTATGTTAGTATATATATATATAATTATAATTAATTATATATATATATATATGACCAGAAAACATTAGAAAAACACTGGGATATAGTAGATAGTGTATTTCCAAATCCAAAATCCTTAAAGAGTTTCCTGACGTCTTTGCGATTTTACGTCGTTTTATGTATGTATCTCTGAATGTCCGCCAGTTACCCCAAACCTTCGTGAGGATGTAGAGCTTAAAAGCCGAGTCTGTGAGGAAGAAGCCGTACTGCCAGGGCTCAGGAATCTCAGGATCCAAAAATGATGCGTAAAATTGGGTGGGATTATACATAGTGGGAGTATAATGGTGTATATTGGGTATGATACTATTGTTAAACCTACGAATTAGCACATATTAGAACCATCCATGTTATACCATGATGGTTGGTGTCTTTTTGCCACCCAACGACCAAACGTATGAAAGTCAATTAGTGCAAATCCTCTCATTTGTGCGAATGGAAAAGCCGCGAGAACTCGAAACCACCAACCAGATGACATTCGATTATCATCAAAATTTCTACAGGCCATTTTTGTTGTTGTTGACCAATCCAAGGCATTGAAAAACCGAAACCGGTTTTGGAACTGGATATGCAATTTCGCGTTCTTGGTCCTTCTCCAAATCGTCGCACGAGCCCCATGACTAATGCAAAAGGCGACTACATCTAGTTTGGACACCACTTGCAAGGTGGGGGTAACCCCGCACACAGCATCACATAACTAGAAGAGGGTATACTATGACTCTCACTAGTCGGGGTTGACAGAACTGCACTAAACACATCTTTTAAGCTCACAACTTGTTGAGTTCATTGGCAACATTTGGCAACAATACGTCTGTGGCGGCGCTGCATTTTGCATTTTATAGTCAAGACATTCATGCCAAGGCTTTACACAACTGTCAGTGGTCAGCTCCGGCTCCTCAGGTGGAGAATGCACAGCCAGGAGGATGTCATCCTTCACTTCCGCAGACAAAACCTGCCACCAGGGCAAACAGAGGAATTTGTTGGTGATTGAGCCACCCAACCGAAAAATCCTAATAAAAGTGGGATCATCATTCCAAATTAGACAAAAAGAAAATACTGTTTAAAATCACCAAGAAGATGATGTGAGCAGGTTGTCAGGCAGATTTCCTTCTGATTTTGTTCTGTAAATATTACCTTGTTTGGGGATGTTTGGGGGCGGCCACCATCTAAACTCATTAACATCGATCAATTGCCCACATTCTTAACTTATGTTCATATCACCAGTCAAAATTGCATGTCATTCGGGGTGCACAAACCTACCCTGAGCAGCAATTGGGCAATTGGGTACATATCTCCATGAACAGTGGTGAACACAAGAACATGCATATACCATGTGAACCCATACCAGTTCGTTGTACGTACGAGTACCCGGCGATTTGGATCATGCGACCGAACACTGAAATTGACCAGCAACATGTGTCAACTAGTAATTTTCCTATTTGTAGCTATGAACAGCAACACATATTGCAAAACAACTGGACTTTTTATCGGTTGCATCCCCATGATTCGTGGATCTTCTTCTCCCTATGACAGGTAGGTCTCTCATATAGCTTCTTTAATGTTTCTTTCGCATTTTGCGAAGGCTCGTTTTCTTACCTTGTCTCATTTATCTTCAGCCTAAAGGTAGATGGCTTGGTGTGGATCCGTACCAAGACAACCAACATTCACCCAGTAGTAAGTCTGTTTTGACCTTTCTGTGCTGCCCTAGCCTCTGGTAATTGATCTAAAGGTTGCAATCAGGCAATCAGGAACATCATCTATTTGCGTTGGGGATGTTCTCCAGCAAAACAACATTGTTTATCAAAGGTAAACCACCATTCTTATGTACTTTAATTCCATTTGCCTGTTCAAATTCCCACTTGGAGTTTGGTAATACCTCTCCTTTTTGTCGGTAAAGACTTTCTTTTTGATCAAATTCAACCCCGCGAGGCGCCTCGTCCAAGAGTCGATCGTCATCCACAGGCAACAACTTCAGGTGTTGGAGCTTTCCTGCCAGGGAACCTTCCACGCTGGTTGTTTCAGTAGGGTAATCCCAGAATCGTTTTATATAAAGATTTTCAGGGATATGTCCCGGAAACACAAGACCCAATCATTGTTGATATATTTTCTATTTCGGATAAGTTATTTCCCATTCTTCTGATGCCAAACCGGCCAGAAGACAAACTGCTGGATCACCATCACCCTGCTGTCCTAGGGCGGCATCGCGATCGCGTGCACGATGGAACACCACTGCCACGATGCCCTCCACATCCCGACCTGCGGTCAGCCCAGAAGGAAGCCACGGATCAAAGGGAGGAAGGGGACCTCAAATTCAATGCACGGATTTAAAATATGCAGGAAGTTACAATTATCTGGACATGTTTTGAAAATTTGTATATATATATATATATATGTATATATATATATATATCCAGAGAGTCTTTGGGTCGAGTTTTTTCTTCCTTTTTTTCGTGACATTCTTCTAACCGGGTAAGCAACAGCTTCAGAGTCTCAGAGTCCCATGGTGAAGGCCTTCTTCCTCAATCTGCCGCCGCACACCAAGGAAAAGGCCCTTGCAGCTTGGAAGGCGAAAAGGGGGCCCCTGCTTTGATAGGCCCATGAGAGGGTGCACGATTGGACATTGAGGTCATCTTCTCTTCTACAGTTATCTATATAAATGAAAAATGCATATATGATTCTAGCAATTAATATAGACAAATAATATCAATTAATATACACAACATTCCCGAAAAATGGAACATTTCGTGCCTGGGAAAACAAACGAGTGAACCACTGAAAACATTGCTGCCCATTGCTGCCCGCATACTGGCCAATGAACATGGTCCGTTTACTGTATTTATGTAGATTTCTTACAGCTGTCATTATAAACCCTCTTTCATTAATTAAAAGGATGTCCCCAACTGATGGAACACATAATCATACTATCACACAATCAATATATAATTGAAAGATACTGAACGATGTTTTCTGTTCCTCACATGGCCATGGGTCACCAATCTTGACAACAAAGTAATATCACAGGATGAATACACTGAATACACAATTGCCAAAGGTGTGGGTTGCTCCGCTGTTCTCACTGGTACCTCATTTAGGTCATATGTTTACACCAACAAAACGTGTCTTCATCACTTCATCAGTTTTCTGGGTCATTAGACCCCCGCTTGGTATACCCCTATCTGTCAGCAATCCATGATTTTAAACCCAAGAAGTCTATGCAACTTATTGATACTTACTGGTTGAGCAATAGCGTAAACAACCCATGATTCCGTTGCAGGATTCCTGTTGCTCTAAATCCCAGACTGGCTTAAACACCCAACTTATATTCCAGGTGCTTGGTATCCCTCTAGTTGTTGATCAACATGCCCAATACCCGGTTCAATACCCCATACAGCTGTAAGTACTCGGGCTTCCTTCCACGATTCTTGGGTCCAAGCACAGCTCCCCATCCCCGCCTGCGGAAGGAAGCCTCGAGTGATGCGCACCAGATCCTTTAGCTTCCACTCGCAGTCCTGTTTTTTTTTGGTTGGTTCCACCGAAAACTGTGGATTTCACTGGCAGAAAAACATCTATATACAGCCTGAAAGAAAAAACAGGATTTTAGCATCAGGACCTGGTCAACCAACAATTGGGATCTAACCGGGAACATTTCAACCAAAGCTGGCTGGAAAGGCTTTTGCCATCCACTATAATCTCGATTGGTTTCCTTTCCGCGTTTCCTTCAATCACAAATGGCTGCATCCAAGAATCATATCAAAGAAATCCACAGAATTGGTTTATAGATGTTTGTAGGGAGAAAATGGACCATATTTGGATAGCCAAAGCTCAAAGCCCTATTTCCCGGCAGTTGCCTTGAATTACATATCCCATTGCGTGGGATTTTCCTGGGAAAAAGGGATAAAAATGGAGTGCTCACATTTGCCTGCCCAACTTTGCGCATTGTTTGCCAAAACAAACATGTCCAGCAACAATGACGGACAAGTGATTCGGTCCAGACCCAAGCAAACTATCCCATTTTTTGGGTCTTCCATCAACACTCGACACTGTTTCTTACATTTCCTATCAGCCGGTTTCGCCTGAAAGTAACTCATCACGAACTTCAACACTTTTTTAAAGGGTAAAATGCAAATTCTGGCTGGAATCTAGGTAGATCTAGGTCATCTAGGTAGTCATCTTGGTTGACTCAGAATTTGGAAATTTATGGGGACCCAATGCACCTATCATTTCTCCGGCCACTTCGCCCATTTGGTGTCCTTGATCTGCCCAGGATCTTCCGCAGGATATCCCACCACACTGGTGTCAACGATGCGGACCGCCTGGATCCAGGAAGGCCCCCAAAATCCTCCAAACCTGCTTGGTGCTTCAAAATGCTTCAAATATGCATCATGTTCATTCATTTTCCATCCTATGTTTCCTATGGAGGATGATATTGCATCATATTGCATCATATTGCTAATTCAAACAGCAAACAAGTCTGGATAATAATTACAGATGTAGTAACCGGCAAAATTCACCAACACATGAATTGGATGTAATTTATGTTCTTGATCTTTCCAGCAAAGTCTTCTCGGAAATTGGGGAAGCCCCCCATCAACTACTTTTGAGTGGCCGAGCCACCCTCAACCCGTGTATTGTTCTTTTTGCTGATGCTCTCCATCCATTTTTCTCGCGTCTTAACTCAATCTCCGGGGTGTTTGTTGGTTCAAAATGGTTCAAACATGTTCAAACCCTTTGGCTAGTTCTATAAAATATGTTCCCGATTCCAGTTGGCTACATCATTTGAATCCTTTTCTTGGTGAGTTGTATAATTTCTCTAAATACCATTTCTTGGTTCCATCGTCAGAATCCTGTCCAAGTTGAAAGGTTCACTAGTGGCTGCTCCGAGCTCATGTTGGAAGACAGCCTTATTGGTCACCACAAAGTTCAAGAACGATCCATGCTGGATTCGAGAGACCTGAGTGAGGAGATTGGCAGGAGATTCCAATCTCCCTGGGGATTCACAGGTCATTGATTCAGTCATCTGAGCTGAATAAATAATACTTCGCCAACCTTAAAAATACATAGTAAGGTCATTGGGGTGAGGTCTTTATAATCTTTTAATCTTTATAAATCAGCCAGAGTCACCAAGATGGCAGAATAAATGGAAATGATAAGTTTCATCATCCAAGCTCATTTTGCCAAAAACGACAGTTTCAGGTTATTTCAGGCTGAGGGTATGACACTCAGCCGCTGGTTGAACACCATGACCTGTTGAGGGCATGGCCCGGCTCCCGGCAAACCAGTAGGCGTTTGGACAATTGCCAGCAAGGGCAACGGCTTGAAGAATTGTAGGCTAGAATTCTTCAAGCTGCGCTTGCAATTGCAGGATTTGAAGGTTTCAACTGAGTTAAAAACATCTTGAACCCGTGAGTCAACCCACAACTGCCATAACTTATAAAATATTGGCTGGATGGGATTCATACTGAAGCTTTTATTGACACCATCGTTTTTTCATGTTTTTTCCGTTTGAGGTTGGCTGAAAAGGTCCTAAACGATCCAAACAACTCCAATCGTTCTCACCTCTGCGTTGAAGGTGCACAATGCGCGTTCCGGATGACCTTGGAGATATGTGACAACCGCAGAAACAAATGGCTGGCAACAACGTGGGGTTCAGCAACCCAAATAAGCAGCAAAGGGACCTACTGTATACAAGTTATGATGTAACATGTTATCATGTTGTGATATACTAATCATATTAAACCATGCTGTAATATTCTGTAATTAGCAACATGTGAAATATAACTACGTACTTTTGTCGAGTGTCAGTGAACATTTTCTGCCGTGTTGGTCTGCAGTTCTTCAGACGTGAAGTGTTCCCCCACTTGCGATAGGAAACAATCAACAACGACCATGGGTCTGCAACAGCTCTTGTTTGAACATTATCCAAATTCATGTTTGATGGTTGGTGCTGCACAAGCAAACACAGGATCTTCAACTGGTACAACGCCCATGCGCCCACCCATTTTGACACATACGCACACACACAGACACCAAACAAAAGTTGAGTTTATGTGTTCCTACATGAATTCATTGGTTAGATTAAACACACTTGTGACTTTCACTAATTGGTTAGATTACACACACCTGTGACTTTCACTATGAAAGAGGGAATGAACAATGTGTAACTACCAGCAGCTACCAACTATATATTATGTTCATGACAAAAGCATCCCCACTCGCAGATCTCCAACACCTGGACTTGCCCCGAAGCTGGGTGTGTTCCGACTATCCTCGAAGGTGATCTTCTGCGAACCGAAGGCCTGGGTAGAGGGAGCGGTGCCCATTTGTCAGTAGCTGCAGATTGGCGGGCTTCCTGAAACATTGGGATGGTTTCAGATTAACCTTTCTAGGAAACATGGATGGAGGGCGGTTCTCTAGTTTTTTTTATCCAATTCTGGTAGCGGAAGAAACTACCGAGATATATCAAGTGTTCTTGTAAATTAGCAAGTTCATTCCTTGAAGTGTATACATCTAACCCAACTCTATCTGCAAAATGTAGAATACAACCACTACTCTTAGACTTGCAGGCCTACCCACCAAACCAAGTTTTTGAATTGTTATAGACACAAATAGAGACAACCATTCACCCACCATGACCCTTCGATCGCCTTGGCAGCTTGTTGCTCCTCCAAGATCCTCTGGGCCGCACCTGGGCAAAAGGCAAGTTTCGAACAGGTCAAGCCCTGATTTTATCTGGTATTCCAGAGTCAAACATGGTGGCAAAAATGGGGATTCCACCAGACTCAACCCGTGGGAATGTGGGATGAGCTTGTTAAGGGTGGGATTGGAGCAGAATCAAATGGGGATTCTATGCATAAAGAAAAAAAGATGGCAAGGCAACTTACAGCAATTGACATAATATGGATATTGGGGTGCAAATTTGTTGGACCTGTTGAAGGCTAAAAGTTGACTGGAGGTACCAAATAGTTTCACCCATGCCATGCCCATACTCAAATAAACCAAACTAATTTTCACGTTACCAGTGAAAAACAATTTTCCCTCGTTCATCATTCAGTCTCCTAGGCAAGTATATATATATATGAGGTATTAACAGGTCACCGAGATTGGGAATAATACAGTAAGCATAAAATTTCTAGCCAATCAAATCACTCGCGAAAACCTGCACAACGACACCCGGCGGCCCCCACTCTTCTGGACCGCGTCAGTGAAGTCGGACCTTACCAACTGACGGCTGTGGGAGATGAACGACACAGGTGCCCAGCCTTGTCGGGCCATTGTGAAAGAAACCAAAATGACCTGAAACCTCTGTTGAGGCCAAAACTTGCAACCTATACTTTTTTTCTATGCGTACTTCAATGGTCAAGGTAGACAACAAAAACATAGCTGGCTCAATATTTCACCAATCTAAGTTGCATTGTATATTGTAGATGATTTTAACGGTGATCTGGAGATTCCTATACCCATGTGAACAACTAGAGGGTGTATACCACACAGCTGATACCATGGTCACACGTCCTTGATAAACACCCGAAATAAGAACAGAGTAGCCAAGATGTTGGAATGGTTCGAGATGTCCGTATCTTTTAGCAAGTTGAGATCCCCCTTGCATTTTCACATATTTTCACCATCTTGGCCACACTGACCGACACTGACCCCCTTGGTCCCCGACAGCCATTCCTGTCCCTTGTCCACTTCGCCGGTGAGAAGCGTGGAACACAAGACCTGCCAGCATTGCTTCAGCTGCGCTCCCGGACTGGTTCTATTGGTTGGTGGATGGTTGGTCGATGTTGGAAGTTAGGTTCGTCCCAAAATGGTTGGGGGTAATGATATAATATAATATAATTTTATAATATAATATAATATGATATGATATGATATGACATAATATAATATCATATAATATAATATAATATAATAATATATATATATTAATATATGTTCTTGATATATATATATATATTATATATATTATATATTTATATATTATATATTTATATATTATATATTTATATATTATATATTTATATACTATACATTTATATTATATATATATATTATATACTTATATATTATATAATTACATGGGATTTTGGGATTCTCAATTTTGAGACAACCTATTTCAACAATGTGAAGGATCCTCACTGAACCTAGTAGAACCCCATAGTCAAGGAGTTCAAGGATGTTCAAGGAATGTCAAGGATACCCTGAGCTGCCAGGCCACCTGGGAATCTGTAGTCACGAGGAATCTATTCACAATTTCTTGAGCAATAATGACCAATATCTATAAGCATTGTGTAGCTAGCTGAAGACAACAGTCTCTGGGTTTTTGCATCCACCCGACCTGCCAGGTGTCCCGTTGTCGACTGGGACATCTCTCGATGATTTTCACCAAGAGGTTCCTGCTGACAGTGCTCAATGAGAAAACAACTCAAATGGTGTCAGTTGTTTCGGCAGCACTATTGATGGAGAGGATTAGATAGGATGAGGATCAGGAAAATATATTTTTACGGCTGATCGTAAATGATCATACAGTAAAGAGTAACAAACAAACAAAACACCAACAAGAACACCCTCATCAGTTTCCAACTGCTAGTGGGCATCATCATTTGTATCCGTTCCTATCCTCAAATGGGTCTCAATTCACCGGTTGGTGATGAATGAACCACCCAAAAAAAACCTCTCAATCGGGATCATCATGTCAAAAGACCGGAAAATCAAACACGTTTGAAACCACAATCCAGATTACCAACACATCAAAGCGGTCAGCTCATTTAAGACAAATTACAGTAGAATCCAGATATGAATATTATGAATTCATCAAACATCATTCCACCCATATCTTCATTTTAAACACACGTTTAGGGATGATTCTAGATATAACACACGTTTAGGGATGATTCTAGATATTTCACATATCGGAAGCATACAAACTCAGATACCCAATCTTTAGTACACTTATATATATATATATATTCATTTATCCATTTTTATTATATAATATATACATATATCTATATATAATATATATATATCTATTATATTCAATTATATATCTGTTTATGATCATCATTGATGATCCTCATTTTTTCACTGAGGCGTATTGATATCCTGATTTTGCCTTGGCTTCCCCGGCCTCACGTCCTCCTCGATGGGCGAAGGCGTGTCGTTGCCCTGGTGGCAATACAACGCCATCTGCACGAAGGAATGGACCAGCTTCGGAGGCACCATCCTGGGAGCCAGGCGCCATGAGGTGCTGTAGTCATTTTGTGAAGTTTTGACATTTTTTAACGTCTTGTGTATTGTGAACATTTTTATACATGTTTTGACTATTTTCTAATTTTGAAGTGGTTAGTAACTGGCTTAGATCATCATTGACAATGTCAGAACGTACCAGTGATGTGATGTACCAGTGATGTTTGGAGATATGCCGGCGACTAAGCATAGACCCTTCAGGATCATCCTCGCAGAGAGATGGGCACTGCACCAGAGCCTCTTCGAATCATATCATCGTATGGTTAATTTTATTAAATCAACCACGCATGGTTCAGCCATGAAAGAACCACCCATCGTCCAAGTTTTTTGGGGATGGAAAGCCTTGAACAACTGAAACCACCGACTACTAGCAATCGATTCTGTACTCAAACTCATTTAATCACATCAATTCAGAACATACTCAGTGTATTTCCTCAGCTTCATCATTGTGGCAGTTCATTTTCGTGTAGAGAAATCGCAAGAAGGGGTCCCTGGGGCTACTGGGGCCCCTGACTCGTCTAAGCAGCACTCCACGAACTTCTGGTGGAACTGGCAGCACCAGAATTGGTTCATGTTCAAGAAGAAATTCACAGGACCCCCTAGATTCAATGGTGAACATATGTAAAATTAAAATAAATTAAACGTATAATAGTTGCAATAAATTGATATAAATTGTATGTAGCCGTGTAGATGTCCCATGATTTTCCTGGATCCATTTTATCATTTTGTTATATTTTGTTCCAACCTTCTGGGTGGGTTCCATATGTTCCATCGAAGGAAAATGTATGTCTCCTTCGCTCTTTCCGACCTGAAGACCAAAACAACTTGTAAGTTCCAACCCGAAGAAAAACAAGGCGACAATCCCATCCCTTGCATTAGTGCAGGCTTGGCTTTAGGTCTGTGGATGTTGCATGATGTTGCGATGTTTGATCTCCGAACATGCGAAAAACAAGGACCCCAGTATACCCCCCAGATCGTGTCTTCGCTTGAAAGCCGTTTCATGCACTTTACAGGTGAACTGTTTGATGAATCTGGCTGTCTTGCTCAAACCATGCAAACAACACAGGTGAATGGAGCCAGTCATCCTCTAACCTTTGCTGTTTCAGCGCGATCACCCGACCTGCTTGTCTTCATCGGCAAATTGAAGATACGGCAAAGATCCGCACACCACCTGAGTTTCGGATTGGGAGACACTAAAATCACTAAACACGCGCGCAGAGATTCCACACACGCACGGGGATATAACCCGACAGCAGGGGGGAATGCAACTCACAGTGACTCACATGCGCATGTAATGAACACAACTACCTGATGACCCACCCCACCCACAAACATGAAGATGTACTGTAGTCCATGATCCATTCATCCAACCTATGCCCATGTTCACCAGATTCACCGGGGAATCCAGATTGAGAAGTTCAAACTTTGGTGCCTATGAAACTGGCTGGATACATGTGCATATATAAATATATATATATGGGATACCATCTAGTACCATAAAACATCATAAAACCATAAACACTAAAATCTGCTGATTCCAGAAGGCTTGAGGTGGGCGGCCAACATTAGAATCAGTCCACCTGAGTCTTGCTTTGGTAATGGCACCTCCACACAAATTGTTACTGGAACTTGGGGACCATCACCTGCTTTTGTGTGGTTTCAGCCCATCCCAGCAACGTCACAAAAATCACACTGAAATCATTTTGGGTTTGGGGATGCGAAAAGCAAGGTAACCAGGACCTAGGATTTCCAGGCGTGGTTTCAGCATGAGCTCCCCAACATGTGACGGTGAACCCATTTTTTCTGCAACATTTCCATTTAACCCGTCCATTGAAATTCAACTTTCCCGGTTAAGTCCTAACTTCTAACTGGTTCTAACTGTTGTTATATAGTTGAACCTTCATTTGTTGCAGGTGAAATCCTGATCTATATAATTAATATAATTGTTTTGTTGGATCATCCCATCCCTATGTCACTTGCGGTGTCAGGCTGCCGCACTGAGCACAACTTGGCCATTTCCTCGCTCAGCAAGCGCCTTATAGTCGCCCAGAGGTGAAATGCGGAATATGTAATGTATGGCCCATATATTCAAATGTCATGGCTGATGTAATGCCTGAGTATAATCAACAACATGTCTGTACTGTAATATGAACAATGTTGGTATAAATACCCAGCGCAGCTAAGTGATGCTTTTTGTTTATCTATGTCCTATACGGATCACATTGTGTCAGGGCTCACCACTACTTGACTACTATTTAAAGTGGTGTTTCCATACAACCCCCAAAATTGTGGAACTGCAATGACGAACCCTTGTGAAAGTGCACAATTAACCTTCATCAAATCATCAAATCTGTCAACCTATGAAACTACTAAAGTGCATCTCACCCCATGTCTTGACTCTACACAACTTTCAAACAATCCTCATTCCCAGTGTAATGTGCATATATTTCACAAACCGTAGGTTCACCACTCCCACACCATGAGTGCCTCGCAGGCTCGACTCCCAGCAACCAAGATGCCCCAAGATCTTCTGTTCTGGATCTCCTTGTAAGGCTTTCACCTCAGAGCAGGCTCATGAGAGATTCCTTGGGGGAGGCAAGGCAATCTTCACATCGATTCCTTGCATTTGAAAACACATCGACCTTAGGGAGGCCTAATCATTGAAGACTAAAATGGGGAAATAATTGGGGACCTTTGTGTCATGATCCCTGCTGGATTGTGCCAGAAGGCATCCGCACAAAAGCGTGTTTTGGGGGCTCATAATGGCAACCAAACTTTAGTGGTCGCGAGAAACATTTTGTACAAGCAAGTGTCGGCAGTGAACGTGCTGGCAGTGAACGGAGTGCTTGCTACCCATGTCCATGGCACACTTTAGATGCCATGCATTATGCATGCTAAATAAGAAGCTATGTCACAATAACGAACTCTCCCCTTCGAACCACCACCTCCAGAAAATAATCTTGAAATAAACAACAATTAGAAATAACACCTCATTAAGGATCACTAAGGTGTCAATAAGGGCTTGATTTTAAGCTCAAGTTGAGCTCAAATCAAGGAAGGGGAATCGAACATTCATGAAACAAATAATCCGTAATTACGCCGTAATTGTATCAGGGCTTTCTTTGATTTAAAGTGATTCTCCGTTGTTCCAAGTGATTGTGCTCCGGTTGGGCGCGGCAAGAGTGGCAATGTGACATAGCGAACTAAAACAACAGTGGAGAAACAATTCCTCGCTGGGAAAAATCAGAATGGGAATGCGCGTGTCATGATGTAGCGCCAAAATCCAGATTTCCAAGACTATGGTAAACATACGGCCGAATTGAAAACAATATGAGGTCAAATTTAAAATTAAGGAATCTCTAAAAAACAGGTCAGAATAAGTTCAAACTAGATCAAACTAGTGTAAACACTACTTAAAACCATGCTTTGGAGGTTGTTAGGTTGTTATGAGGAAAAACAAGGCACACTCCACATTGCCTGCGAGCGTTTGACGCTAAACACCTGGAAAACTAGACACACATAGCCTAAAGGTAGTGATAGCAGGTTCTTATTTGGACTTTCCTTTTCAAGAAAACTCGTTTTTTGCCTGGACCCTTTTTTGAAGGGTGGTTGGGAGGCTGGGGTGTTTGGAGCTTGTGATTACAGTGGGTAATCCACCAGTTACCCGTCAGGGCCCCCTGGGATTTCGAGTTTCCCACGGCATCCTCCACCACGCTGGTGGCATACGACATGAGGATGTTGCAAGTGACCAACATCTCCACCTGGGGGAAGCTGTATCATCAATAGTCATTGATCACATATTGTATTATATATATATACATATGATGTAGTATATGTTATTCATTTGCATATACATTTATATTTGTATATATATATACTAGTACAGTAAAAAAAGGAATATAATTTCATGTTCCGTAGAATTATGTCGCATCATATTTAATTGAACTATACTTTGTGGAATCGTACTGCGGTATATTGAATAATCTTAAATCCAAGTAACAAGGTAGACTCACCAAGAACCACTCCCCGAGGGGGGTTTGTTGCTGGGTAATATGCCCCTATTTGAGATGATGTAAAATTACCCCAAATGGATCAAAATGGTTGGTTATATTGGTTACTGGGATTGTTTCATGGGTTTTTCATGGTTTTTCTGTTTATACTGTAGTACACTACATTAAACATCATTAAACCACATGATATGTACACTGTATCGCCTTGAACAAAAATATAGTGTATTGAATCTATCAGAATGTATTGACTATGTATTGTATAAAACTAGACTAATTCTGCAGTAACATACATACAACACGTAAACCAAATGCACTACATTATATCGAACCATACCATTGCATATGTCACTGTGTCATATTGTAACAAGGCATACGATACGATGTGATAGTGTATCAACTCTTATAGATGATACTGTACTGTATTGGACTCGGTTGGTTTCCAATCACAATAATGGATGTATACAAACGGCGAAAGCTGATATGCCACCATCAGCATAGCTCGGATCATGAATATTCTGGGCGTCGGACGTCTGGATTGCTGCTTCGAGACTGTAAGACTGTACCTGCAAACGTGTTGGATTGAGAGCTTAGTACAACTCCCAGTCAATGCAATCGAAAAAGGGCTGGCCTGGTAAGTAGAGTGCAAGTTTTGGTCCTCTCCCTACTGTCTCTCATGCAGTGCTACAGGTTACAAGTGAATGACAGACCTTTGCACATCATCACAAACAATGCTGCAACACAACATGTTTCAAGTGTAATACCTGGGCAGATTTCTCCTCGGCCGTTGAGAAGTAAACATAACTAATAGAGACTAGTCACCAGTCAGATTTTCTTACACCATCGGACAGGGCATACACCCTGGCAACAAAAAGGCACTATTGGATTCCAAGTTGGAAAAAATGGTGGGATATCAAATTCCGCATAACTCACTGCGGCAGAGACCCGGATGAAGATCTCCACGGCGCACCCATCAGTTGGAAGAACTTGATGCCCTAGGCACTTGGGAGCAAACATGAAGACAACATAAGACAACCACCAATATCTTTGATGTAACTGATGTATATCGACGTATATCGACGCAATATCTGAGTATCTAACAAGGTTATTGCAAGGTGTTCAGATACAATATACCACCTCTTGCCGGTCAAGATACGTACGTTTGATTACTGAACTGTTCGATAGACACATGTGCACGCCCAATGGCGCGAGTCAAATTTAACGGAAAAACATGGAAAAACAATGAAAAACAAGTCAACGTTGGGCGTGACCAGACAGAACGGTTGAAGGTGGCTAGGCTGATGGCCATGGATCCATCCTTGACTAGGCATCCGCAGTGTCTCTTGTAGGGTCCTTTCTATGAAATCTCACAACCCATGATAACCCTTAAACCCTCAGTGAAGGGTCGATGATCGATGTCACCACAGCAACCGTACCGTGGTCCAGTACGCAATATGGGCATTGCAGGTGTTTGGGGTGCTCAAGTCAAGCATCCTGAGGTCACTAAAATTATAAATCAGCTGCAGCGGTGAAACATAAGACGGCAATACATAGTCTGAAGTTGGTTGAATGCACAAACAAACATGCACAAACATACATGCCGTGGTCAATCAACTGTGTAGATTTGAAAGGCTTGATTGCCTATATATACTAATATATATATAATGATATTTATCACAATGTCAAATTGCTATCCTTTTGCAACACTTCAGTGAAACAGGAATGATCCCCTGAAGTCTAGAAATGGTTGCATGGGGTGTATTCTGGTATATCAGAAATATATATATATATACATACACTAATATATTATAGTAATTTATAATACATAATATAATATTTAAATCAATATTATGAAATATGTATTTATATGTATCTATATATCTTCTAATGTAAACATCGCAGCTGCCAGCCGCCAACCTTTTCCCATAAATCCAAGTTTGTATCTATTTGTGGCAACCATCTGACTCCACGATCCATCACCCATCTACTGAGAATCCCGGCGCAGCAGCAGTTGAATGGGCCACACATCCTGTTATCTCAAAACGATTTGTTTCTAAAGCTGTTTGATCAATGGAAAGTCATGTCAAAAATATTCAAAACAAGAATTCGTTGAAATGGGACACCATGTGACACATGTCATCTTTCGTTTACACCTTGAGTGTAGAGCTCAAAAAGAGAACTCTGCAAAAGTAAAGCGGACACAATGGGAACGCATATCGTCCGATTGGGGGTACCTTGAAGGATCTTGAAGGTACATGTCTTCCTTAAACCACAGCCAACGAAAACACAACATGGGAAGATTCAACAAATCCTTCCAACCCTCGGCCCTGCTGGCGGGGCCTCACCAAGGAAACCAGTCGAACCACCTTGGGGCAGAGAATTTAGAGACTTTCTGTCGCAGTCACCCTTACTGGCGGGAAAATCCCAGAGTACCGGGGGCTACATGTCCTCTTTGATCCATGAAACGCTCAAGGCTTGAATGACTCTGCTGGGCATGATCTAGTCATCTAGCCAGCATATAGATCTCACCCCAACTTGGCACTTACGTTTGAGACATGCAACCAAGGCGGTTTTAAGTAAAGATTGCTTGTCTCTTTTTGGACCTATTGTCTGAAAAGCCACTGAAAAAAGGCGTCGACATGCGTCGACGAAGAAGTGGGTAATATAGCCTATAGTCTCGTCACAGTGCATTGTAGTTTCGAGTAGTCGAGCCTGGTAATTATCCATCATAGATTCAGGTAAATCTTTTTTCGACAGCATGTTTCCGCCAGGTTGGATTATCAGCGGGTACCGAGTTGAAGGACTTCCAAGAAACCATGGACAGGCGCCATGCATGCGGTCAAGGAGCCAAGTGCTTGTCCAACAAGGTGTTGACCTCAGCCGAAGCCCTACGCAGAAGCTGATTGGTGCCTCAATGGTACCTAAATATACCTAAATCAGAATAAATCAGTGACTTGGAGGCGCCAAACATTCTTTGACGTGCTGTGCCTGCCAGCAAAAATAGAGATCATCTCAAGAAGAAGACCGTTCCAAGCATTGCGCCTGTCACAGAAAGCGTCTTTTGACACGCAATCACCCACGTTGGAATATCACGAAGTGCCATGCCTGTGAAGGAAAACAACATGTCATGCGATGCCACATCCCAACAAGAGAAATATTGTGCCCGCATGCCCCAAAAAACGAGATTCTCACGATGTACTGCGCCTGCCACAAAATTTGCACTTCGTCACCACTTGACGCAGCAGTTCCAATCCAGTTTGCAAAAAGAACACGCATCACCGCACGTCTTAAGTACTGCGCCTGCCCAAACAATTAAAATAATCTCCAGAAGACCGTTCAAAGGTATTGCGCATGTCACACAACATAACATTCGACACCTGATCACACATGCCATGCTTGCCACACAAAACGACATGTTTCGTCTTTTTCAAAAATGACCGCTTTTGATCGCTTTTGCAGCATTCGCTATCGGCTCAGCCATATCACTTTTCATTGCGTGCGGTTGCGAACGGTTGCGGACGGTTACCAACGGCAAAGCAAAGTCAAGCGAACACACCTCCACCCCCAACCCCCCTAGACAAACGAGAGCCCTTCTTTACGCATTTGGGACAAACAAATCTTCACCCTTCAATAAGCATTCACTGGTATATAGTTTTACCATGTTTTACCCAGGTTTGCTTACAGTAAATATGCTTAAATCATCTTAAATCCCCATCAATATGATTCAACATCGTTTGATGAAACATGATGAAACTCAGTAACTACTGTAACGTAACTATCATCAATTGATCATCAGTTCGCACTGGTGAAACACTGGGCCGTCCCTGCCATCTCAGCCTCCGCCTTACCGGAAGCTGGCGCCTCGCTTCTCAGGAGGTACAGTAAATATAGTATATGTAATTTAATTAATAAATATTAATAACATTTTTAACACCAACAGATCGAGAAGGGGAGTACAATCATGACTTCCGGGGAGGTTAGTATCTTGGGGTATACGTTCAACCAGAAGACTCGGATGGTTTCAGACCAAGAACAACCCACCAATCCAAGCCAGCTTCATCCAGCTTCACATGGGGCAATACCAAATTTCTTCCAGTTGCCAAGGTGATGGCAAGTTGCAGACTGGCTGGGAGACAAACGATGCAACATCTGCTGCAGTGGTGTGGATGTTCACTAAAATTCCAGAAACACTTGGACATGGATAAGAATTCGGGACCATTGGGCCATTTGAGGTTTGGGTATATACACCCAAAAAATGAATGATCAAACACCAAACATCCCTCGATTCGTAAACCTTTCGGTTCTCAACGGACGACCACACAGATATCTCCATATTTTTTTTGGAGCCCATGAGCATCCCTACATGCAGCACGCCGAAGCAACATCGCAGCAGCGCCGCCACGAAATATCCTGGATCGATTTGACCTGCAACGGGCGATCGGACCATGTCTCGGAAATGTGAATCGCTGGGATTGAACTCATCCCATCCTTTGGAGCCGTGGAAATTTGAAAGATCCAGCGTGCCTTCAACGTCTTTCCCCGCCCTCCCCACCTGAAGGTTCAAAGGACTGGTCCTGGCCACAACGTGACTGAGGGGCATGTAAATGTTCGAACCCAAAAGGACTTCTTCAATCGGTTGATTGAAGGGAAACATGGCAGGAAACCACGATTTTTACATATTGTTTAAATCCAAATGCCGGGGTTCCTGTGCATTTGCCCGAAACTATGCAGGAACTTTTGGCAAAGAAATGTTCAGAAACTAAGTGTGACCTTCATGACATCGCTGATGAGTTTCACAACAAGTCCACTGAGCGACTCAGCGCATCTCAGTGATTCTCAGTGCACACTTGTTCATATCCTAGACTCCTAGACACACATTTGACATGAGTGAACCATGCCCCCTTCACAAGCTGACATCGCTGACATCGGTCCTTGGTTTTGTCAGGTGATATGGATCCGGGGATGCCCCTCATTATGCCATACTACTCGCCAATCAACCACCGTCATACAACTCCTTGTACAGAATTTAGTCATCCATCATCCATCATTGTCATTGTCCCTCATTTTATGTTGTGCTGCCCATTCCGTTGCAACATGCAGCAGATGGCATCCTGACCAAGGTATATCCTAACTTCATCGGATTTCCCCACCAGGGACACCCGGTGGTTCCTGCTTCTCTGTAGCTCGGAAGACATCGGCCTCAGCGGTTCACCAGACTGCCAGCTAGCAGCAAGGCCACACTTTGATTAGCACCGCCATGCCGCGTTGTGATTACAATTCTGTGGCATTCATTCTTAAAGATGCAACCAGCTGAAACACTCTTGGAGGATGTAACCATATTTGGTAGAATAAATGGCATTAATGCATTGATCATCATTGATTGTGTGTGCGCCCTATGATATCACATGGTCCAAACGGTTCACTAAGGTGAACAGATAATCTGTGAAGCTTCGTTTTTCTACTCTTCAGCCTCTGAGCACCGCGCACCGTGCACCTTTGGCCTAGGTCGCTGGCACGTGGATTTGAAGATGGAGGATAGATTTGGGGCACCATGATGGCACCATGTTGCTTGATGTTCATCATTTGAGTATGAGCCAAGTCGTTGGAGCCCGTAAAATCTGATGATTCAACAAAGGAAAGAAACTCATGTGGTGTCCTTTCAATATTCACCCGTACCTGCCAGGCCACAATAGTATACAGTAATATGAAAGCCAACTGGGACCATCCTCCCAGCTCAAGCTTAAGATGAAACCAAATTCATTCGAAACCACTAGCCAGTCCAAAACGAGAACCTTTTTGGTGTTATCAAAATGAATATCGAAACATCTTCGAAACTCAACAGGTTGAGTTTGAATTCACTCCACCTTCGCTATCCTTCGCTTTCTAGCTCGGCTGGCCCGGCTCGATTTTGGCCGTGGTCTGTTTGTGGCTCAAGAGCTCCTTTGCGATGGAAACATGTAAAAGGCGATATCATTGGAATGATTATCCAATAATTTGACAGAACATCAACAGGAAACTCCGCCTTTTTTTTCCTAGGCCTCTGCATGTTTATTAAACTGAAGGCAATCCGTGTCAAATGAGTCAAAAGATGCGTCTTGTTTACAGTTCTGTTTTCTGGATTGGGTATGTTCTTTCAGAAACACTCTATATGTCCCACCCATCCCTGTCTAAATGCAAACCCACCTTCTAGCCTCATACCAAAAATACCAACACAAACCAAAACAAGACACAAGAGATACCAGTTCCAGAACGGTTTCAATTTCATGGAATCTCAGCTTGCTGTGTGACAAGCATCTCAGCTGTCATTTGGATGCCTTTGGCTGTTGATTGGATTTCAGTTCCATCTGAAAATCTACCGTCATCATGCCAGGCAAAGGTGCGAGCAAAAAAACTAACAAACAATAACAAACATGTACAACAGTAACAATGTGAAAAAGACTGATCTCTAAACCCGATACACCAAGATTTACCACAAATAATGCTCACATTGAACATGTTTTATCCTCAAATCTGGTGAAGAAAGGAGTCAACAGACCCCACTGAATGAAGTGACACTCCAAGCCCCTTTCATGGTCCCCGTGGCTCTCGGTCCTTCATCAAGAATGGCCTGTCAAAACCATCTTCGCCCTCTTCGAAGACTGTGTCCTTGGCGGAGTGCCCCCCCCCAGTTATAAGTTGGTTTATAAATCATAGTAAGTACAGATATATCTACCATAAACCATAGTTATTGGAGTTATAAACCAACTTAGCTAAGTATGGAGTTTTTAATTGGACAATCATCTATCTGGTTGGTGGTTTTAACCATCTTGAAAAACATTAGTCAATGGGCAAAAATATCCCATATATGAAATGGAAAATGAAAAATGTTTGAAACCACCAACCAGTTAAGGCTTAGATCCCCCCATTGACCTAGAAACTAAGTTTGATGTTGAAACAACTGGGATATTTTGCTAAAACATTCAAATATGTCATAGCAAATCATCAACGGGTTACCAGCCTTCACTACTCAACCATAAAACGACCTCCAACCAGCTATAAATGATGGGCTGGCCAGCCATGTTTGATGATACCGGAGGAAACCCAAAACCCTAGCACCCTGGTGAACATGAAAACTGATGTTCATCCTCAAAATATCAAAAGGTATATAATAGGTTTGGATCCATCCACATTTACTTCCAACAACATAGCGTTGTCTGGAAATGGGGTATGCTCTCTAAATGACCATTTTAATGGTGATAATGAAAACAATAATAATAACATATTGAATATTATGATGGATAATAGTAAAAATTGATGGGGAATATGATGGACAATAATGATCATACTGATCATGCTATATTATGTTGATGGATCATTAATTGAATGATTATACTTAATGATAACCGTCATAATGATGATCATTGGGTTCTGATAGATAACCCATCATTCAAATATCCATTAATGATTATCATCCATTGGACCTGGAGAAAACACAACAGTTTGTGGACCAAGACTCCGTATAGCCACCCTTGTACCGGTTGAGTTTCTTCTCCTGAAACTGAGCTGCGGATCAACCCATAATCCACCTCATCCCATCATATTCAACGGTGAAATTTCCTTCGATCATCTGAATTCATCTTAAATCATCTGAATTTGACTCTGTATTCCCAATTTACAGTGGTTGAAATAATGTGAAAGACTGACAACGTCGGGCCCCCAAGAAGCTTGTTTTGCAAGTACAATAACTAGAATTTCTTTTGGTGGATATACAGTTCTTTGTGGACGCAAGCATGGTTCATATAGTGAACACCATGCAGAAACATGCATTTCTCAGGAATTGGAGGGCACCAAGGAAAAAATACAATAGAAATAGAAATCCCAAATAACCCCTACCATGGATGTGCACATAGTCATGTATGTATAATATATATATATATATATAATCATACATATATATATATACAATCATATTTATATAAACATGAATAATATATATATATACATAATCATACACATATAATCATGTGTAATTATGAAATTATTGATCTAATTAATTAATATACATAACTCTCAATCTGCCTTGCTTCCAGTCGAATCCGTCACGGATTCGTCGGCACCTCCAAGTGAACCACGTCTGTACAGACCGAGTCCAGGAAATCGGCATCGTGAGAGACCACCAATAGAGTCCTCGGGGCCAACCCTAAGAATCATTGGCCAAACATTCGATATACCCTAGATATCAAAGAATAATTTATATGTTTCATATTTTACATACATATATATATATATTTATTTATATATACCCTGAGAGTCAAAGCCCATACTTTGTTTATCCTTCAGAAAAGGCCGAACTTTGTCGTGAAAAACTATTCTTTTCCCGTGTGGTCCTTGGGTGAAGGCCGGCCTATTCGCACCCATGCACATTTCAACATTGACCTCTGAAAATATTTCACTTATTGAGATGAAGATCGAGTTTCAACATTTCCAACCCTCCCAAACTCAACCATACTACAGTTCACAATGCCTCATACACCCGGGAAATTGAGCGCTGTCAAGTCGTTACATGATTGCTAATATTGCTATACATTGCTGCTATGAATGCCCATTCAGTACTGGCCAAAGAAAAATTGAGCCGCGCTCAGGCTCAGCACCCACAATGACGGAACATGCGGCATACAATTGGAAAGCAGATTCACAACGCGTGGCAATTACAGTACCCTGTTCGAAGAACTGAGTGGTTGAGTTAACTTGAGCTAAAGACTAATTATCACGCGCAGTTTCGCAATTCTCGTAGATGAATGACATGCCTTTTGTGTTTTGATGGTTTGATCACTTTTGCTGGTTCCGGTTCAGCACTTAATTTTCATGGACCTTTGTCTTGACTGTGTCTTTCTGATGTTTAAAAATATTCCTGCCATTTCCGGCCATTTTGAGGCCGTCATGCACTTTTGATGTTTTCCCATGTTTCACAAACCTGTCCATACTTGATTCATTTAAGAGATCTTAAGAGCAACGTTTTTTACACCAAACCATTCCAGGCGTAGATGTGCATCAGGCGTTTATAATGTCTTGCTGCAAATTACACCTCGGTAAGTAACCCTCCTCAAGAGAAACACCGCCTAGTCTTTCACAAATCTACGTCCACTGGTCAAAAGTTCATCAAACACCTGATGGGCAAAAGGGGTACCCGCATTTTTTTATCAAATTAGAAAGTATGGTTTTAACCATTTGTCCTTCAAACCTGTGCTTGAGAGCCCTTGAAACGCTGCTAATTTGTGACTTACAGCTATTTAGGACAATCACTTACTTCTGGGCTCGATTAAGTCAACCATTGCGCTCAGAAAAAATGCAGAAATAAAGCGTTCCAAGCCCATATACCTTTCCGCTTGTAAGGGTCGTTTGGTAGAGGCATGTTCTTGAGAAAATAGCTATCAAAAAAAAAAACATTTCATTGCATTCCGATTAGCACGAGGAGTGGTGTTTGGTTCAAACAAACTGAAAAAGAAAAGAGTTTGAGTGGAATAGTGTAGGCGTCAAAGCCATTGATGCAAGTGGCCTATCTCGACGTGAAATTGGAAGTTGGGTTTAGATCTGGAGAGTTCCAGCCATGCTTTAGCACAAGTCTGCCAAACATACCGGTTGAAATCGTTGCTTTTCATTGAAGAGTGCCATGCCTAATCCCTTGATGTGAAGATGTCTGACACTTGTCGATGAGAGCTTAAGATGATAGTCGTAGATGAGCGCACCAAGAAAACATCTAGATAAGATAACAACTGATAAGATGATATCATGTTGCGGGCTCGTGACCGTGAAAGCGCCGTGACGGGACCGTGACGGGCATGACCGTTCAAAGTTTGTGCTTTTCTGTAAAGCACAAACTTTGTTTAGCCTTTGGACCCCCAGCCCCAGGGTATATATATATATATTGTTATATGTTATATGTTATATGTTATATGTTATATGGTATAGGATATATTATATAGTGTATAATCTTACAGTATGTGTTTTTTCATATTGTATATTCACAATATCCCTGTTGATGGCCAATTTTGAATGAGATACTGAACTACCAATGCTGACATGTGGAGTTTGAATCCCCTGGAAAGTGGACCTGCACCTTTTAGGTGGATCTCTGCATGAAATCGATGGATATCCCACCAATTTTGTTGCCATGTTGAGGGAATATGATGATTTTATGATGGGATTTTGAGGTTGGAAATTCAATCCATGTCCCAAAATCCCAATTGGTTGTCCTTCCAATTGTCTTTGGCTTTACAGTAACCTTGATCCATGTGCCTCCCAACGATTGGTGATTGTCCTAGCTACACTATATACGTTGTTTCTTTTAATACCTCATACCCCTTTGTTTCGCTTTTTTGTCTCAGCATACCATCACTTCGACACAATCCCACACAGGCAGATGATCCTTATCTTTCCAGATCAAGTTTTACTAACAGCTGTTGATCTCAAACGTTGCTTCAGTACTGAGAATCAAGAGCCATGGTTGGTGTCATAACAGTTATGACCCAAACGTATCCGGGTTTCCATAAATGGGGGTGCCCCAATAGCTGGCTGGTTTAAAATGGAAAATGCATCTATAAATGGATGATTGAGGGCTACCCCCATGACTTAGGAAACCTCCATATGTTTCTTGATGAGTACTCCATTCTTGCGGGTTACTTCCCCAGGTTGGATCTTTTCGGGTCAACCAGGAACCAATTCATTGATAGATCCCCAACCAGGCCGCAAATTGCCGAAAAAAAATGGATTAACCTCATGTGAACATGGTCTTATGTCCAACTTTATCCACATAATTATTTAGCAACGTTTGAAGTCATACGTATTTATTGTATCTGTAGATGTGCATAAATTCATGCATTGAAGCCACTTTTCATACTCTATGCCGCATTCATTGATATCCTCATAGTTAACTTAGTTAACTATTCTTGAAGGTCATACTCCCTTGACCAATTTGCGACACATCCGTGGAACTTTCCGTCACATCGACTGCGTCCAGTTACTTGGGATAGCCGGTGAGGTACTCTTCCAACCAAATCCTGGGAGGAGAAAATCCAGGTCTCCTTCGACCGATATCCAGGATGAAAATCTGTGGTCCCCATTGGTCCTGCATTTGGGGGTTTCCTACAATGGGGATACGCAAATGGATGGTTTATAACCCATAGGATCCATGTATGCTATATATGGTGACATTTATCATCAATATACCCCCAATGTTAGCATATATACCATACATGGATCCTATGGGTAAGGGAAAATCCTATTCAAACAGATGATTTAGGGGTACACCCATGACTTAGGAAACCTTCATTTGTCTCAAGGTGATGAACTCGATACGAAATTGGGATGTAAGAAGTCCCTCATGCTGGGGATGAAAGCTATGGCACTGGCTTTGCCACAAAAGATTCTCCAAGAGCCTTGGAAAGAATGAGAAACCGTCTTAAACTGTTCCCCAAGAAACCTATACTAGGAAAACCCTCCAAAAAAAAGGTAGAAGCATGTAGAACCCAAAAGATGGTATCCAACATCGGAACATGTTCGAAACCTCAACAAATTGGGCTTCAAAGGTTGAGACCATCTGGGGCTCCCAAACACTGCATCCAGATCCAAGTGGTTCGTCGGTTCATCCTGAAACGCCGGGACCCAAATGGACCCAGCCGTGGTGATTTTTCTGTTGGCTTGGATACAAGGTGGTGCCCTCTAGACAGAGTAACTATGGTTTTTAGTGTCTATAGTGTCTATAGTGTATATATATATATATGTATATATATATATGTATATATATATATATTTATTTATATATATATATATATATATCAACATATCAATCATTATACGAATATCTAGACCTCATGGGGCTAAAAACCAACTTACAACTTGGAGGACACCACCTTTTGTAAGCCCCATCAACTGTACATATAAAGAATCTATCCTTGAAATAAATACCAAAGTGAACCTCTTCAGACATCTTAAGGTCTTTAAGTACCCCACATGTGTGTTTCAAGCCCACATCTTGGTGTTTCTAGGTTGTTTTGTTTTTATTTTTAGTAGTTCTCCTGGTCCTTGTTCACCTGTGTACGAAACCACCATTTTATGGGGCGATTAGTAAAGCCCTCCACCAGTTGAGAAGCCAGACCAGCAGCAAGAGGTCAGGCCTGAAGTGCGAGAGGGAAATGAAGAAAAATTGCCTGTTGAACTGCAACCAGATACTCGGGTGTCCAGGAATCGTCATAAGTCAACTGGGGGCGAACTAGCCAACTACCCTGCGATTCCTGGGAACCATCAAGTAGAACCAACTACCATAAAGGCATGAGGTGCTGATCACCAACATAGGAAATACTTAAGTGAAAGGAAGAGCTGATTCTGACCGCCTTGAATGGCCCAAGTTCTGCAACCTTCATTTCTCAGTCGTCACCCTGCAAACTTACCCTCTGGTAAACTAACATAAGTATGGAAAATCGCAATTTTCAATTTGTAAATCAACTATAAATGGCTATTTTCAATAGCTATCTTAGTTTAACTTACCTTGACTTACATAAATCTGATGATTCAGGTCCTTGTCAAGAAGGGTGTCACCACCAAATTATGGAACCTGGAACGATCCGAATCTGGTCAAAGAGATCTAGGCCCCAAACTCCAAGAAGAGAGCCTTGGCCAAAGAAACACCTTGGCCAAAGAGAGCCATGTGCCATGTGACAGATCGAAAACGGAACCCTGCGGCAAACAAAGATAGCACACATATGCACAAATATGGAACATGTGTGGCCGAAGAAGAAAACCTATTCAAGCAGTTAAGTTTCCATGTATCGTCCATGTCGATGTCTGGGACCACAGAACATGATAGTGCCCTGGCTTCAGACAGGGCAGCAATCCATCCAATGAGTCCAAAGCTGAATGTCGATCACAACTTGATGCCCTCCATTCAACAACCGGCGTATATTCATGTATTAAGAAAAGTTTTACATCCATTAAAAAAAACCGACCATTTAAACCTACCCCCGAAATGCGCGGGTTTCATCACATTTCTCTTTTTACCCTTCAGTCAAGGGGCGCATCCTCCAACCTCCCGACCTCGCGATGATCAACGTTCCAATCCCACGGCTGAAACAAAGCCCGGTTGGTGGTTGGTTGCTATGGTTAGATGTGGATGTAGAATATATAATAACAATTAATAACATATATAGTATAACATATAATAACTATATGGCTGAAAAATATAAGCGTAAACCAATTTAAGTTCTTGTTTGTGCAAGCAGTACTTTCAGTTGGCTATGACTTTCAAACCAGTTCTTTAAACCACCAACTATGGTATTCTTAGCTGACCATGTCATGTGTTTTTTCCAGCAAAAACATGCAGATACCGATGGATACCCCAAATAAAAAAATGCTTCATGCTTCTTTCCGGGGAATACCTTGGTGTTCGGGGATCCAATTTTGAACAAAGACCCATTTGGCACAGCTCTGTTACAAATGCAGCATATCAAAAAGGCCTGGACGTTGGCAAACAGCAAATGGATGGGTACCTCAATGATACCCTTGCGAATTGACAACCATATGAAAAAAAAAACATTGGTCGTTTGTGGATCATGTTCCTTGAAAAAAAAAACGTGACAATTTAGCGGAAGGTAAACAATCATCAACCCAATTTTGAGGCTACGTTCCGGTGTCATCACATATAGCCATTAGAAATCATGACTTCAATGCGATTTTCGCAGCTATAAACCTCCATTTTCATAGATTGAATATAGATTTTCCCATAATTTTCCCATATGAAAACTTCCATCGAATTCTTTTAGATCCCGTAAAACGCTGTGCGGCACAGGTCGCCGGGCAAGACATTCACGGGGCCGTCAATCATGGCATTGCTGAAGCCCAGGCCGCAGAGGATTTTTCGCACGCGCGCCTTTTTTGTTAGGAGGAAACCATAGGAAAAGCATGGGAAAATGGTGGATTGAACCATGATTTCACCACGAAAAAGATGGGGATTTCACAGGATTTATGGGTGATGATATCTAAGCTGGCAGCTAATGAAAAACTAGGCTTGATGTTGATTGTTGGTGTCCAAATATCTCAGGCTCCAAACACCCCAGGAATGACCAATTTGCCCAGCTTCTGGCTATAATTTACTAATGAGTTGGAGCAACCCATCTGTTTGATCTTTTACAAGTTGAACGTTGAAAGCCTTCCACGACCATCATTGGAAAACGTGAAACGCAAAAGAACACCTCCGCTGGTCAATGATTGACGATCCCTTGACCCCGGTCAAATTTCATCATTGCTACCGTTGAGTGGTTATACATATATATATATATAAAATTAAAGTTTACCAAGTTTACTAATACCCATAGGATCCATGTATGCTATATATGGTAACATTTACCATCAATATACCCCCAATGTTAGCATATATACCATACATGGATCCTATGGGCTAATATACAGCACATTTATCGTCAAAACACTGTTGCTCAAATGTCTTTCTTCTTGCAACCATAGCTGCGTTGAAAATATCTGACACTTCTCCGAAAATTTGGGACCCGAAAAGTTATAGCCCAAAAAACTATTATTAAGCTGGAATTATTTCATGAAATATAACTTATATAACCTTACTTATAGGAGTTAGTTACAGTTAGTTCATCCCAGATTGTCACTCTTACTTAGTTGGGCCACACCGGGCCACATCTGCAAAACCGATGGTTAGGCAATCTCGTGACTCTCGCCATGCAACCAGACTGACAATATCATCATATCGCCAAGGGAGTCTGCCTAGAACAAAGCTATCACAGAGGTTCCTCGCCATCGGCTCCTCAAAATATGCTCTCATTTCATCTCCTCCCTCTCCGGAGTAGTCGATCGGGTTGTACCTGAAGCTGAGCAAGCGCCGAGCACGAAGAAGCAAGCGCCGCAAAACTCACTCGTGATCTGGTCACATCTTCGGACCAGCCGAAACAGTTTCAGCCTTTCAGCTGTATGTTTTTTGCCGTCTTAAGGTAGTAATCACCATGAATATTTTAGTTGGAATCTCCATATTAATTGTCTATAACCTGACCAGGCGTTGTTGCTGGTCTGACTTGTTTTGTTTGACAACATTCCATGTATTCCTGGTTTACAGTATCCATAAAAATGTTGCTAAATCATTGTTTTCACTAACATCCCAAACTACATTCATTACTTATTTTCTAGTAATTGAACAGGTTCGCTATAGAAAATCAATGAAAAAATGGATATGTTGCAGTTCGCAAACTTGGCTACAATTCCCAGAGGCTAATTCCCACTTGGCTTCAATCCAACTCAAGAAATCAATAAAAACACCAAATCAATAAATCACTCCAAATCACACATAAATGTTTATCCAGTTTACATACACTTATGTCCCTTTACCAGCCATAAGTCACTAAGTCACCCCATTTATGGAATGATAATCCCAGTTTATAACCATCAAAAATAACTGGTAATATGGCTTAATATGGGCTTAAATCATCTTAAATCCCCATTGTTTCTATGGTTTTCCCATAGTTTTCTGATGGTCTTCCCAGCAGAATCCCTTCGCCATGGATCAGATCCACCTCTGAAATCTGAAAACCCGCACGCCTCAGCAGCCTCCGCACCCGCCGCCTCAATGGTTCATGGGGTACACCTCCAATAAAAATTGCCGATTTCAGTGGGAAAAACATGGAAAAATGTGGGAACATGATGATCAACCACGGGTTCTCAGGGGTTTGACCTAAATTTTCAGACAAGTCTGGAGTAGACCGGTGAAACCACTGAAACCATGTTTTAATCACCAGCAATTTTCAGTGCGAATGGTTAAATCCCAACTTCAACTGGTAAAACCTCCAATTTCTTCATGGCTATATCGGCTTTAAATCCCTATGTTTGGTTGATTTTCTCAGCACATGATCCTTCTCATTTTGTGAGAAAAAACAGATATGTTCGTTATAAAAAATGCATCAACATCTAAAATTTGGATGGCTACATCCCAGCTCTAAATCATGGAAATCCCTATGGTGTCTTGCTGAATTCCACCATTTTCCCCTGGTTTTCCAAGGCTTTTCCCATCCTCCGAGGCCTCCAAATCCTGCGCCACGGAGGTCAGCTCATCGCAGAGTTTCTGCAGCTCGCTGGCCTCCACCTGGCGCCAGCCGCAAGGACCCAGGCATTCTGCGAAAACCATAGGAAAACCATAGGAAAACCATGGGAAAAATGGGTGATCAGCGATTTTGTATGGTTATAACTGATGTTATCATTCCATAAATGGGATGACTTACTGATTTACTGGTGATTTTTGCCTTTTTTCCAGGCAAAATGTTGACAACAATACCCACTACATGGTATAGTGGTGATATTTCATGGGATAGTGGGGATTAATCATAGCCAATATAGTTGACAACAATACATGTGAATCCCGAAATAACTGTGATTTTTCTTGTTATAAATGGCGTTATACCGTAACTGACTATAGATGGGGTGACTTACTGACTTATAACTGGTAAAGGGCCATAAGTGTATGGATTTTTGACCACCAAAACATTGGGGCTTCACTGTTCGAAATCTGGTTTTATAATACATTACCCATAGGATCCATGTATGGATATATGCTAACATTGGGGGTATATTGATGGTAAATGTCACCATATATAGCATACATGGATCCTATGGGTTAAACTTAACCACTGGAAATTGAGGATTTCAATAATTGGGGGTTTAAGAACTCAAAATGGTTCAAAATGGGGATTCAACCAGATTTAATCACCAAATCTGGTGATCACTGGACGGGCCAACGGCGGGTGAGCCCAAGGCTAGTGCTGGTGTAGCTGGAGCAGGCATTGATGGGGGCTTAGGCGAGACCCTGACACGAGGCAAGGGAGGCAGAGACAGAGACAAGGTGCAAAGGGGGCTTGAGTTTGCGTACCTAGGTACCTGAATGTAGGGTAGCTAAAGTGAGGATCCAATTGGGAGAATGCCACAAAGCAGAAAACGAAGGTTAACAATCACACTACAAGGTGGCCCACCCTAAAGAGCGAACTTAGTTCATAAGTCTAGAATTATCTAAGCAAGGTTTGTGGGAGTTGTAAGTACAGTTAGATAGGATTACCAGTAGTACCCGCACGAGGCGGGGCGGAAGTTGCCTTAAAGATATATATAAGACTTTTCTCATCTATAGAACTTGCATGCGCCGTGCGCCAGCCAAGCCCGTGCGTGCGTGCACTCTGCGAAAGTGGTGTCCTGTTTCACATGTCACATTTGAAGCTCCACTTCGCCCTTCACACTTCTCACTGCAATCTTCACACTCCACACTGCACACTTCACACTTCACACTCCACACTTCTCACTTCACACTGCACTCTTCCCAATCCACACTTCACACTTCACTGCACGCTTCCCACTGCACACTCCACACTTCACACTTCACACTCCACACTTCACATTTCACACTCCACACTTCACACTGCACTCTTCACGCCCCACACTTCACACTGCACTCTTCACACTCCACACTTCATCTCATCTTTGCTCTTCTCACCTTATCCCAGCTCACCTCTTCTCATCTCATCTCTTCTCATATGTCACCTAAGCTTTCATGAATCACTTCCCAGTACTACTACTAAGGAACTTGCATGCGCCGTGCGCCAGCCAGGCCCGTGCGTGCGTGCTTTGTGCGAAGCTGTTGCAGTGTTGCTGTCCAAGAACATGACCTGCGCGCGACCCCGGTACAATGCAAACACTTTCCTCACACTTCACATTGCACTCTTCACACCCCACACTCCACACTTCACACTTGCACTTCATCTCAACTCATCTCATCTGAGCTCTTCTCATCTTATTCCATGTCTTCCCATATGTCAGCTAAGTTCTTCTTGGCTATTTTTATGTCAAGTACTTCCCAGTACTGATGTCTACTACAAAAGCTTGCAAAAACCACTTCCCAGTACTACTTTGTACTACAAAGCTTGCACAAAACACGTTCCAGTACTACTTTGTACTACAAATCTTGCACAAAGCACTCCCCAGTACTACTTTGTACTACAAAGCTTGCACAAACTACTTCCCAGTACTACTTTGTACTACAAAGCTTGCACAAAACACGTTCCAGTACTACTTTGTACTACAAAGCTTCTACACACATCAAGTTCTTTCGCAGAGAAGCTTTTACACAGCAAGCTTTTCAAGCAGAGAAGCTTTTACACACAGAAGCTTTTACACACAACAAGCTTCTTCACAGAGAAGCTTTCACACACGGCAAGCGTTTACACACAGAACACTTACACACAGTGCTTTTACACATGGCAAGCGTTTACACACAGAAACTTTTGCACAGAGACGCTTTTACACACAGAGAGGCTTTTACACACAGCAAGCTTTTACACGCAAAACCTTTTTCACACAGCAAGCTTTCAAACACAGCAAGCGTTTACACACAGAACACTTACACACAGTGCTTTTACACATGGCAAGCGTTTACACACACAGCAAGCTTTTTAAACAGAGATGCTTTTACACACAACAAGCTTTTACACAGAGAAGCTTTACACAGCAAGCTTTCACACACAGCAAGCTTCTTCACAGAGAAGCTTTTACACACAGCAAGCTTTCACACACAGCAAGCGTTTACACACAGAACACTTACACACAGTGCTTTTACACATGGGAAGCGTTTACACACACAGCAAGCTTTTTAAACAGAGAAGCTTTCACACACAACAAGCTTTTACACAGAGAAGCTTTTACACACAGCAAGCTTTCACACACAGCAAGCGTTTACACACAGAACACTTACGCACAGTGCTTTTACACATGGCAAGCGTTTACACACACAGAAACTTTTACACAGAGACGCTTTTACACACGGAGAAGCATTTACACACAGCAAGCTTTTACAGAAAAAAACAATTGCACAGAGAAGCTTTCTTGTACATAATCACAACAGGAATTGCAGCTCCAAAACTGGATCTCGACGCCAAAGCGACAAAAAGACGATTTTGAAGCACTTTTTAAAAGGAATTTTAAAAGGAAAATTATTAGCGCCGAAATTGAGAAAATCTGCTGACAATTCACTTTCGCAGCCTTGATGCAGCCATTCCAATACGATTTACGATCTTCAGCTGCAAAAGACAATAGTATTACGCATGCAGCCGCTGCACCAAGCAACCTTGACGCAGCCACTACAATGCGATCTGCAGAGACTGAGTTGCGAAACACAATAGAACTACGCGCAATGGCGTCGGAAATTGCAGCTCCAAAACCGGATCTCGACGCCAAAGCGACAAAAAGACGATTTTGAAGCACTTTTTAAAAGGAATTTTAAAAGGAAAATTATTAGCGCCAAAATTGAGAAAATCTGCTGACAAATCACTTTCGCAGCCTTGATGCAGCCATTCCAATACGATTTACGATCTTCAGCTGCAAAAGACAATAGTATTACGCATGCAGCCGCTGCACCAAGCAACCTTGACGCAGCCACTACAATGCGATCTGCAAAGACTGAGTTGCAAAACACAATAGAACTACGTGCAATGGCGTCGGAAATTGCAGCTCCAAAACCGGATCTCGACGCCAAAGCGACAAAAAGACGATTTTGAAGCACTTTTTAAAAGGAATTTTAAAAGGAAAATTATTAGCGCCAAAATTGAGAAAATCTGCTGACAATTCACTTTCGCAGCCTTGATGCAGCCATTCCAATACGATTTACGGTCTTCAGCTGCAAAAGACAATAGTATTACGCATGCAGCCTCTGCACCAAGCAACCTTGACGCAGCCACTCCAATGCGATCTGTAAGCACAGATTCCAAAGCGCCCTATAACTACACACACAAGCACACCCAAAGCAGCTTGAAGCCACCGTTACAATGCGGCAAAAAAAACGATAAACCGACCCCAGCCGCAACCGCCGCACAGACGAGGTACCTTTCATCGCCGGCTGCAGCCACTTTACACGGAAAAACACAAGGATTTGTGCTCCGGCTTCCTCCCCAAAACACAGCCCTTGCAACATCATGCAGCCATTCCAATGCGATCTGCAAGCACAGATTCCAAAACACCCTATAACTATGTAAAGTCTCACACCACCCTTCATCAAGGTCAAGTCTCAATCGCGCACCACCCTTCATCATTTCAAGTCTCAGAATTCTATTTGTCCGTAACACGGAAGTATTGCTTCCCAACTTCCTTTGACAAACCAACTTGTAACTTGATGGCCCCACATTGTACAAATAGTCGAAAGGATATTCAGCACTGAACCCAAGGCAATTGAGTACAGTGAAAGCCCCGAAAACCAGTCATAAATGGTACCCGGCCTGGTAAATTAACATAGCTATTGAAAATGGCCATAGAAATAGTGGATTTTCCCATTAAACATGGTGATTTTCCATAGTTATGTTGGTTTACTAGAGGGTATAACTCACCATCTTGCAGGGGTTTGCTTACTGACATCAGTGGTATTTCCAGCCATAACTTCAGGTTTGCAAACCCCGTTTTAGGTGGCCAAAATATCGCCATGAAAATGGGGCTATCAAAACAACACATGAATGAGCCATTCAAACATACCCAAAATACACAAAATATCCATAGGTCCATATCCCATGTCATACTGGGCGAAGAGATGGAACCCTACGTAGGGTGGCGAACTAGCCACACGTCGTAAGTGGCAAATTGTTTACCCTGGTTCTGTTTATGGGATAGGTTTATTCCGCGAAAAAAAAGGCGAACGCACCTCCTCGGCCTGGGATTCCAGCCTAAGTAAGACGACTGTCGGAAGAAAAAGATGGGGGGTATCACGCTGGTAACGACCCAAGAAAATGTGTAAAGATGTAAGACAAGTCTAGATTACCACTACTTAATAGGACTTCACTTTGGTTTTTCTTTGGGTTTGGGGGGCAATGATAAGAGAGTATCAACTGGGAATAAGGACCATAAAATAATGATCGCATGGTGACAGTAGACTTTCTATACTAACTGGGGTCGTTCTGCAGTTGGAATGTTGACTGATTGTACCATCAACTCGACTAATCCAACAACCTTCATCGAACCGTCCATCTCAAAAGGAAAGTCGTCCAAGCCACAACTCGAGGTCTATGTTTGTTGGAGAAATGGTATCATCTGGGTAAATTGTAATATTTCACTAACCTGAATCTTGCGGCCATTTGGGGATGATTATTTCTTTATTAACCATGATTCCAGGTTCCATCGCAGTGAAGTCGCTATAATTTACCCAGATCTATAAAAAAGACACCACCTATAAAAGCCACGATTGGAATCCAATATTAGCCAGCTCATGCCAGTTCCAGTCACAAACTCATCTTCCAAAGACTATCAAATGGGGTTCAATACTGGTCCTCTGGGTACAGGGCAAAAAGACGGAAGAGTGTGAAACCAGGATTCGTGAAATCATGAAATAGGTGATATATGAATAGACTTACCCCTCATATATCCCTGCTTTCCATAAATGTTCAATGAAGAAGCACTTGGGGTTGCAATGAGCAGACTCATCTCAAGCGGGTGTCATATTACAACACATCACCTTAATATAGTTTTACATATAATTCATGAGATATTAGAGTATCACTGTAATATAGAACATACGGATACATCCAAGTCATCTTAGTCTACGTAGACATAATATGATCTAGTACCAGGATACTGTGTGCCCTAATGTGCCCAACGTTTATTCAATGATCGGGAAACATATATGATGAAGGGTTCCGGGAATTGAATTACCCATCTACATATGTGATGTATAGATATATGTGATCTATACATATACAATCTAGTATCATATGATACCCTGGGGTATACAAACATAGATGTGGAAAATCCACTAGTGGATACTA